TCTCTCAAGTCGAAGTTCTTCAGCTGTCCGACAAAAGAAATCAGCATCGGCCCGCATAGGCCACCCTAGGCGAAAACATCGAATTGACCTGCATAGTTGCAGGGACAAGGAACTTAGACCACCCAGAACTCCGTAAGGATCAAATAATGTGACATTCCAAAAAGGTTATACGATGATCATCTGCATTTACCAAAAATATTCATTCAAGTCATCATAGTTCCTCCACACAGAATGCTTTGACTTTCCTCCTCTACTTCTCTTTGCTTCCTGTAATGCACAAAGATTTAGATATAAAAACGAGAAGGTAGATTATAGGAAAGCTTGAGAATAAAAGATGGCCGCTACTAGAATTACCGAAGTTACCTTTGCTATTGTCTCGTATATAGGAGTCACAACTTTCTGCAGGAAAGCTTCATCATCACCACCATAAGCTGGCTTTACATGCTCCCCTGTCATGGGACTAACACTACCAGCCAACATACCATACAACTCGAAAGCCATCTGAACAGATACGGAAGATCATAATTAAACTTAAACAGCTATAAAAATGTTATTCTTCACAGATAATTAACATTTGAACTGATTTAAAGTGAATCCATACATGGTGATATATATAACAGAGGCATTCTGGCATGAATCTGAGGTTTGCAGCTTCTCCCCATATCAAAAGATAAAGTCCCATGTAGAGCAATTTACGCTGCTGTACCTCTTGTTGAATAGTCGGCAACCTTCAAGTGCCAACAAGAGGATAAGCAGACATAAAGTATGAGGAATAATACAGCATAAGTTTTCAAAATCTTTCTATTTTATTGGTAAGATCGAAAAATGTGAAAACTCTTTGAGACATTAACATGAGGAACCCTCACCAAAGGCTGCTTTTCCGACCCAAATACTTGCACCACTTTTTGTAGTTTCTGAAAAGTTTCTTCATCACTATTGTCAAAGCACGATCATCCAGCTAGAGAAAATATTGAGCACAACACTTAGTGCACGTAAACTGCCTAGAAGCGAGCAAACAAGAAATCATCACAAAATGCCTACCTTTGGTTGTTGTTCAGGTCTTGGAAATTGTCGGATGTGGACATTAGCAAGTAACAAGATCAAATGCTCTCTTTGATTCGAAACATTGTCTTTCTGCAGTTTAAAGGTTGAAAAACATTCAGTACAGACAAAAAACTTTAAGTCAAATAATTAGAAACAGGATATTTGCTAACAGTACCTGAAACCCAAACATAGACTGAAGCCAGTCTAGAATGTCTTCATCAGGTTTCTTCTTGTGAGCTGCTGTCCATGGTAATCCCCTTATATTTCTAAGAGCAGCTACAGCAGCTTGAATCTGCAGAATAGTATTCAAACACATTGATTGGACTGAAAGACAACAAAACAGGAAGATAGAAGGTAAGGTAAGTAGCAGGCTTACCTCAGGCAATCTCATTATAGCCTGATTTTGACTATCTGGGTCAAGGGGAAGTATATTGTAAGGCACGTAAATCTGGGTTTTCTCTTCGACCTTATTGTGCGTTTCTAAAATCTACAGCAGAAAAAGGGATGATCAGAGACAAATTTGACAATCCAGATCACAACAGTCTCAAGAGTTTTTCCAAATCATTAATAAAGATCGCACAAGAATGCAAGTCATATTGTTACTACATAACATAATGTCAACAATCAGCATCATCACCTCATCAGCCACTTCCACATCTTCAGTCTGATTAACAGCCTTCAAGACTTCAAAGAGAACGGCAGCAGTTTGATAGGCCTTTGTAAGCTGAGCACTAAGGTAAGATATTGAAATATGAATAAATAACTCAGTAAGAGGTAAAGTTGTAAGGAAAACCAAAAACTTGAAGAATTCATTTGATCAAACACAAACCGATCAGCTTTATCAGCAGCATTTAGCAACGCTTGGATGTATTTCTTGTAGTAGTGTTGATAGAAACTCTGCATTTCACGCGCATCACTCTTTTGCCTTCCTGCTAAAGTTGTTTCATTCTCCTGGAGAAGCAATCAGAAACATAAACAGACATGAGTTTTAACATTCGACACAACATGTTACTGAATCAAACAAATGTTGACGTCCATTTACCCTTTCTAATCGTTGAAGTAGTGCCGTCTTAAACTGGCGAACACCACGTCCACTTGAAGTTGGATCAAGCCTGTGTGCCTTCTCAAACGCGTAAAACCGACCTGGTAGCATCGAAATCCACAATTTTATTATTCAAGGCTCAGTTAAGATAATCCATCAGAATCAAGTTGTGAAATTGTTTCCACTCACATAGGTAAGCAACACGTGGATTACTAGCTTCAACTTCATTAGCCACACGAAGAATCGGAGCAATCTCCACTAACGATGATGGAACCACTTCACTATCAAGCATAGCCTCTCCTAGACTACCAACAGTCTGAGTCCGCAGAATCCGCCTCTGTGGCGGAGGCGGATCAGGTTCTCTTCTTTGAGACATCTTCTAAATCGTGAGAAGAATGAGTCTGAGCTAACAAAGTAAACTATTAGTCAAAACCTTGAAAAACTTGTGAACTAAAGAAAAGAAAAAAACCAAACAAAGAAAGAGAGAAGACAACAAGTAGGATCCAATTTTAAGTAGTAAGTTTCGCTTTAGTTGAGAGAAGCTAATAGTGATTCATCCTCACAAAGAGAAAATATCACTGTACGCGCAATGAACGCGAAAAGCTGTTTCTTTCTATAAAGAAAGATAAAAGGATTGAACTTTCGAGCCCCAAAAACCCAGTAAAGTAGCCGACGATGTAAAGCGCAAAGAGATATTATTTTAACTATCCAATCCAACAATCGTGAATACAAGATACCTCTGGTCCTAAAGACACATAAAGGATTAAACTTTCGAAGGTTTAAATAAACCCGATTGAGAAAAACTCCAATGACAAGACCTAGAAAGACGAAGCATCTAGTCTCACTCAAAAGTCAGGTCAGTCAAGTGGAGCAAAATTAGAATGGGATAAGTGAAACGCACAATCAGAAAAAGACATCCAATTTCATTATCTCGGAGTTGAAGATAACAAAACCCAGAATTTTAAGGGTCACCTGACGACTAACAGAGGAAGAGAGAGAGACAAAAGCAGAGAACTCCTTGAAGACCTAAAACAGCATCAGATATGCGGTCGAGTTACAGTACTGGTTATAAAAAGGGGTTTATCATCTTTCTTTCCTTCGTCGGCCAAATTAAACGGGTCTCCGGCGAGATAAACTCCGGCGAGAGAGAGAGAGAGAGGAAAGCAACGGCTACAAGGCAGGCGCCAAGTTCTTCTGAAGTAAGGTAGACCTTTCCTTTTTTGCAGCTTTTCTTTCCAACCAATCATATACTCCCACGTCAGCCTTTACGTATTATATAACGTCATATATTAATTTTTGGAAGCTGCTGGGTCGTTTTCAATTTTCATTAATGTAATACCAATAGTCCATTACTATTGTAATCTTATTAAGTAAACAATAAAATATAACTAATACTCTTTTGTATTCTTTTTGATATAATAAAAGAACTCAGAACAACTTTATTTTTATATGCTTTCATTATTGTTTGGTCATGATGAAGTATTGTGACTCGAATCGGATCATCATCCAACTTTTATAATTTTTTTCCTTTGTATTTATAACTTATATATTAAGGATTTAATTTATATAGGAGTTGAGCCATGTGTTAATTGAATTGGGTAGTTGAATTCAGAGATCATCCAACTTATCTTCCCATTCGGATTTCCAATGATAAATAATTACTCCGTTAAAAAAGAAAAAAAAAAGGTAGTTTAAAACCAATAACTCGATAGAGTAAAACAAGTAATAAATCGATTTCTCGCATTAAGACAACAAATATGTAATTATAGAGGAAGATGAGTGAGTATTATTAAAAACAAATTATTGTATCAAAAGTGTCACAATCCAATTTTGTCCACTAGACAAAACCATAGATGTGAGATATTTATTCCACGCTAGATGCTCACGATTCTCCAATAAAACCAAACGTTGTTTGTCTAATATCTAGTATAGTGATATTAAACGCATATGAATGCTACTATTACATTTTTTCATCCTCACGATAGAACTTTTATCTGGTTTGAGTATGTGGTTTAGATGAAAAGAAAAACATCAAGACTCGGTGGAGATACTATCTCCTTACGTGTTATTAGTATAACTATAAACGGTAACAAATTATCTTCATATACATATATCTTTATATATAAAAAAGTAAAATTGGGTTGGCAACAAAACATCTGTACGTGGATGTTTGTAAATACTTTGTTTGTTATTGTACAAGTATGTACTAATGTGTTTAAATATGATTATCTTTACATATACGTCCACCAAACCACTTCCAAAAGATATGCATAAATATATGGTGACAGAGCTCAACTAACATGTCTGACGTTTTGTGTCTCTCGTTTAACAAGGTCTCACGTCAATCCTCTGTTTTCTGACGTTTGAATCAAAACACTACTAATTGATTTTAGGATTGGCTTGTGAAGATAAACACAAGCTCTTATTATCCCATATAGAGCTTGTGTTATATTTTTCTCCAGCAACAATGAGAAAAAGGAATTGTGAAACTTGACTAGTCCGCTGGTTCGCATAAAATTATTGGAAGACATTTAATGATCAAATTAAAGTAGTCATGGAGATTGGGATATCCAACCATAAAAGGTTGTGGGCTTTTGATTCCATAAATATCATCTAGATCCCCAAATGATGCAAATATTCAGTTTCTGACCTGTGAAAGTATAAATCTTTAAACGTCGCACATCAGTTTGGAGTGACTAACTAATGTCTTTCTTGTAAAATCACTCTCATAAGCTAGATTTTGGGTGGGTTTTACTTTTTACCTAAAGGCTTTATTGGGCTGGGTTTAGATTCAAGGAACTCATGTCAACACTATATTTGTCATGCACTGATGAAGCATGCATGCTCTTTCTTGAAATGTAAAGAATCTATAAGACATGGCCAGTAGAAGACGATAAAATAAGACAGAGCCAAGTAGTACACGTATATATGTTTATTAATCAATTTTGAATGATATTACAAATGATCTCTATGCAGAAAAAAAGAATTGGAAATTATCTAACAAACAAAAAACTAACTTCATCCGCCGGATTCACCAACAACTTCTGAATCACATATGGTTCATGTTTTAAGCTTTGGTGACGAAGAAGGAGAGACAAGAGAAGAGGATCCCATGGAAGAAGGAGACATCTCGCCGCTTGCAGGCATATCTTGAAGAGAAGCCAGAATCCTACTTATGCTGATGGATCTCGCTGACCGGAAACTGTAAGCTCTCTTCATCGTCTCTGACGTTGAGAAAACACTCGAAGATTTAGAGAGTATGAGATACACGAGAGCTTGAACCAGAGCAAATATGCTCACGTTCATTAGCATGCCTTCAAAGCTTCCTTCCATTATTGATGTTTTTAAAAAAGATTCAGATTGGTCCTTTGACTTTTGTTGGTTGTTTTCTTGAGATCTATATATGAATTAGAGATTGATGTACTTACTAATCAAGTAAGGTCAAGTGCTTAAATAGAGTTCGAAAGAGAAGATGGTCATATTTGACCAGAGGCAGAGTCGCCGAAGCTACGATGAAGGCTCTAATAAGTAGAATTTTCATTGACACTTTGAATCTTTACCTGGTCAAAGTAGACGCGAGTTTTTTTTCCTTTCTTTATAGACAAAACGACAAAGATCATGTTGTTTCATTAATTTAGCACAACAAGTGCTAATTAATTACATTCTCATCCAAATGTACCAATAACTCACATATGCACATGAAGACATGAAAACGCGTACGTGCGTGCGTAATATAACTGTGTAAACTTACATTGTAAACATGTACAATCGAATTAGTCTTCTATAGTTGCTTCAACTGATTTTCTAACACATAAATTTCCAAATTTGGATCAAATTTATAGATTATTCAAATTTATTTCCTGACCAAAAACCAAGTAAGCTCATGATATTCAAACAATCTCTGCGCTTTTATCAAACAGAGAATTTCGTTAGCAATTAAACTTTCGTTGCTACTTCATATATAAGAGATTTATATATCAGCTATTATTAACCATCCATCATCAATCTTTGAGAGTAGTTCTCACAACACGTTGATGTCCCAACGGGTTTCCAGGAATGTTTATGCAACGTTGCTGCCTCGGTTTACCGGTGTTATTTCCCGTCACCGCTGATGAATTCTTTTTCACCCCTTGACATAGTTTCATGTGAGAATGCATCTTCTCGGGTTTAAATAACTTCCCACATTGCCTATATTAATGAACTACCAACAGTTACATCAGCCGTATTATTATTTATCAAGTTTCAAGCATGGGGATCGAGTGAGGGCTTACGCGCATAATGGAGCCATAGAAGGCTTGCTTGGGGTAGCCTTTGGTTTACAAAACTCTATTGTCTCCTTCATCTTTATGCCACTCCATCCTTCGAAGCTTTTTCTATATATTATAAAGATAAATTAAAAAAAAGTAACGGCGTGTTACCAATTTGAGCGGTTATTGTATAGTGTAGTTGTAATTATTATACTTGTTTGTTTAGGAGCCAATGATATGCTACAAAAGTAAATGACTATTAATTAATATTTAACAAACTAGTAAAGATTAATCCCAACCAATCATAAATGGCATGAACAGCTTTTAAAGTAATGATTTTAAAATAATAACAATTGAAAATAAAGGATATGAGTATTTTGGGGCGTACCGAGCATTGTGCTGTTGGTGGTGGTATTGGTATCTGCGTTCGTTTTCCCAAGCTGGACCAAAAGCCCCAGACGCAGACTTATTCAAAGGCACCAAAACGGCGTCGTTCGTGTCCAAACCACCACACTTCATCAAGTTCCGTAACACGTGAGCGGCGCGTACGCTCGAATAGCTCTTCTTACTCTTAATGTAACTCGAAGACGACGACGATACACTCGGTCGACCCGACTCTACATCGTTACCCGACCCGTTTTCACTCGAACCGTCTCTTTCGCCGGATACTTTATTCTGATCTGGTTTCTTGAGAACGAAACCTTCTTCGTTCGTGGTGGATTCCTCGGTGACTGTCGACGTTGTCGCCGTCGATCTCTGAGAGCAGAACACCGGAGACTCTTTACGGATCTTCTCTGACGTTAGTTTCGTCTTCTGGAGTTTTTCTTCAACGTCTTCTCCGCCGTCAACACTATTTCTTACGTCCCAAGCTTTCTTCTCTACATGAGGACGATACCCTGTTTTGATTAAAAAAAAAAAAAAACTAGTTAAGAAACCCTAATTATGAAATTTAGTGATAGTTACGTGCGTGTGACACATACCCTTTGGAGAGCTTAGAAGAATCTCAGATCCTTTGATGACATATTCATTATCGGAGATTGGAGTAATAAGATCGTCGTCCAGTAAATCTTGCCATACATATCCATTCTTGTACCTCCTACATTATATATAAAATCGATAAATATCGTAATTAATCTTGTTAAAAAAAAAATCGATAAAAATCGTAATTAATATTCAAGAATGTGAAAAGAACGTAGTAATTTCAATTAATTTCAGTACCTCTTACAAGACCAACAAAATGCGTCAGGCATCGCATCGCCTCGTGCGTCAGCTAACCATCTCTTCACATCTGCGTTTTAGGAAAACACAATTTAGACGAGAGATCGAAATACAAGAGAGAGAGAGAGATTGATTAAGAAGAGAGAGTGAATTAACCTCGAAGAAAGACTCCATTGCGAGAGAGATGATGAACACGCAAGAGATGAGGATGGTCAACGTTGCCGGAACGGCTAAGGAAATAAACTAAATTCACTCTTCTTATTTCTCCTCCACCATTACTTTCCATCTCTCTTTTTTTTTTTTTGGTTGGGTCTTCAATTTTATCCTCTGTGTGTCTTTTTCAAAAGAACTTATATAAGCCAAAGCTACTTAGTTTTTTTTTTAACAATACGAAAAAAAGAACTCTCAAAAGAGTTCACTTGTACGCTTTTGAGACAAGAAAGATACAAAAGATCGGACTATAACAAGGGCTTTCGTTCTTTCTTTCTTTTGTTAAGTGACACACACTGCAGCCTTTTAAATTGATTTGTAGAGAGAAAAGTTTAGCTTATTCCCAAAAACAGAATTGAATTTTGAAAAATATTTGAGTAAAAGACAAAAAGAAACATTGATGAGAGACATGTTTGTGGAGACAAAACCAAACATACGCATAGACAGAGATGAAAAAGTCTTTGCGGATTAACAGAAACCGCACATTTCTCGGACGACTCGAAAGAACAAACATAGGGTTTCGAGATCACTACTTACCTTTTGTTTCCTTTGATAAAATATGTTTTTTAGATTTTCTTTATCAGTTTTCATGTCAAAAAAAAGAAGAAGCAATCTTTATCTTTTTCCAACTTTTAATGTTACGTCAGGGCATAAAAATCTAAAATAATTACTGAAAATAACTTTCAAGTTATTGAAAATTTTAAGAACTAATTAAGACGAGATCACGTAGGAGAGATTTATGGATTATAGTTAAATTGGTCTTAGTCTTTGTAAGATTTATCGTGATTAAGCAGATTTATCGTGATTAAGCAACTTACCATACACTATTTTTATCACATATACGCAGAATATTTACGTGTATGGTATATGAGATTTACAAGTTTTAATTCTTACCTTAACGAGAAATTAGATGACAAAAAGGCATAAACAAATCCCGAAATTTGTCATCTGTAGTCTAATTAAGGAATGTTGAATAATAAATGTTTTTTATTTGCATAGAATAAAAACAAAAAATGTAGTGAAAACTGATTATAATTATTTTCATTTTTTATCCTTCAATACTGTATATGGTTTTGGAATATAAAACTATTTTGTTTGCAATACTCTAATTTTTTGAAAAGAGTAGACCCACTTCAATCCAAGCATTGTCATTATGATCTTTCGTTTTTAGTATAGTATCAAGTTTCAACTATCAATGAAATTTATGTACTATACCATTTACCACTTGTTTTGATTTGGAGACTAAGGAAATTATACAAAAATCTTTTGTAATTTGAAAAATAACCTAAGGTATATATGTGAGAAATTTTAAATTAATCGCTTCACGATAAGAAAATTGGAAATTCAAAAAACTGGATACGATTACGATTTTTAAGATCATTCACATTCTCTTAGACTAAAAAAAACATAGATTCAACGAGAGTATACATGTACAAACTCATCACCTATGAATTCCATATTGGTGTTCATCTTCTTCATCTTCCTCCTCATCTTCATACATAGACTTCATAAATGGCTCAGCATCACGAGTCACCTTAGCCCCACCATCAACGGATTCTTGATTGTTGCCGGCGACCGCTCCTACAACGGTTGTTGCGGTGGCTGCTGCCGCTGCAGCCTGTCTGTTCACGGCAGAGAACTGTTGAATGACTAAAACCGAAGCATGCATTGTGAAATTGGAAGAAGCTAATGTGTCCCCTATTGTGCCTAGCTCAGGACTACTGCTCCAATCGTTTAAGCCAGCTGTCACCGGAGAATCTGAGTTATATCCTCTTCCGACAACGTAGAGATCGTACGAGTTATTGTCTTCCATTTCTCTGATTGTAGAGATCGTGTCTTGACCATCGTTCACTACTTTTTCGATATATTTAACGGAAGAATCGTTCATAGTCTTGAAATTAAATTCATATATGCACTCATCGTCTACTTGTTTCTCCCTCTCGTACTCCGCCGCAACTTTCCCGGACGATAAGAGAGCTTCGCGTCCCGGAACGAATCTTACAACGGTGAGTTTAATCACGTGTTGTCCGACCATCCGCCAAGCGTATGATAGCGCCTCGCGGTCGTCTGGACCACCCACGAAAAGCATCGCTACTTCTCTTTTCATCGCTTCTCCATGGAACGACTCTGACCGGACCATGGCCATGCCACGATCCACTAAAATCCCGACTGAGCAAGGAGCGTGGTTCAAAACGTTTTGGTTAATGTCGGCATGAGAAGAGTTTCCTTCTCCCATCCGACCGTCCGGTGTCAAGTGTTTGTGATAAGGCAATACGATAAAACAAACTCGCTTATCCTCGGCTAACGCGCATATATCTTCGTGCATCGTTGTATAAGGCGAGACCGCCGTGATGGTCTGAACCGTCATAGCGTCGTTGTTGACTTCCATAGCTTCGAAGTTCTCAGCGATTTGGTCGGAGTCTGCTCTGACTCTGTCAGAGAAGTTCGCTTTGGGTTTGCATTCGTCGTTCATGATTAGCAGAGAGGCCGTGGTTCGACCGGTGAGCTCCACTAGGTGAATGGCGAATACATTAAGAGGTGATTGTTTGGTTGGGTTTGAGACTTGTAAGAGATTAGTGATCCCGGAGACATTGGGGAGTATATGGACGCAAGCCAAGACCCGAAACTCTGTTTCTCCTTTAATTTTTTGGACGGTACGGTGCTTATAATGAGCCAATTTCTTCTTGGGTTTGTATGCAACTGCGAGAAGAGGCTCGATTACTAGCGACATCACTAGGAGAGCGAGCGTCATATGAGTGTACATTGGACTATCCAGCGCCTGCAAATGTTTTTTTTTTAAAAATAAAATAAAAAAAACTAAGTTAAATGATAACGGATAAATATCTTTCCATCTATTATTCATGTTTAACTCATCCAATTTTGTCTTTTCCTAGCCACAATGTGCAATAAAAGAAAATTGATGGACTAGTTTTGTACCTTGGTATCACGACCAGCATTAAGAACGACGAGCGATAAAGTTCCCTTGGTGTTCATAAGGGCTCCCATTGCGAGTGCGTCACGCATAGGCATACGCATGAATAAAGAGACAACCACAGTGGTCAGAATCTTTACCAAAAAGGAAGAGCCGATCACAAACACCATTATGAGCTTGTCAGTGTACTTGAGCATGAAATTAATATCTGCTCGTAACCCACAAATGATGTAGAACAGAGGCATAAGAATCCCGGAGAGGAAGTCATGGAGCTTCTCCTCAATCATGTTACGTATGATGTGGTCGTGCGGGATGGAGAGACCAAATAGGAATGCCCCGGTGATGGAGTGGACCCCGCATGCGTCCGTGATCAGACCGCATAGGACAACACCTCCTAAAACGAACCATACGTGAGTGTCTCCCACGTGACCAGCCTTCACGGTCTTGGAGAAGATCCATTTAATTCCCGGACGAATCACAAAGATACACAAAACGACGAACATTGCAGTGGCGATAATCACGTACGGCATCATCTTGTTCCATGACCCTTTTTCATAACAAAAACAAAACGACAATAAAACATAGGAAATTATTGAGTTATACCATGCATGTGTTTGAGAGAAAAAAAAAGAAAAAGATAAAAGATTAAATATAAGATTCATTCCGTTTTCGTTGGGTGGTAATTTTTTTAAAAAATGATTATAGATTTTAGAGTATTAATTTGATTGGTGGCTTGTTTTTTTTACTAATTGTAAACATTACCTGCTTTGCTAAAAGAAGCGAACCCGAAAACAAGGAGGACCCATGTGGACAAATCAGTGATAATGGCAGCACACATGGCCGTACGACCCATATCAGACCGTAACAGTTTAAGATCCGCAAGAATCCTAGCCAGGTCTGGGAAGTTGGTACATGCTAAAGAGATAGACCAGAAAATACAACCAGCGACGATCTTGTCTGGATGGCCATTTCCTGGAAGATAATAAAGCGCTGCACCAACTGGTAAAGCGACGATAAGTCCTGCAAAGGCGATGATGACTGGTCTGAGCTCGGTGATCCGCACCATCCTCAGGTCCATCCCTAGACCAAGGAGGAAGATGTTGTAGACGAGAGCTAAGTTTGCGAATGTCTCAAGAACCATTGTGAATCTGTAGGGGAATATATGTTCGACCACGATTGTCATGTTCCCAAGAACACTTGGGCTAAACAATAAACCACACTGCAAAAATACAATTACCAAAAATATTAAGACAAAGAGAGAAAAAAACTAATGCAGAAACATTTAAGACGAATTTGTATACGTACAAGAATCTGAGCTACGAAAGGAGGAAGATAAAAAGGTCGGGTTAGATAGTAGAGGACACGGTAGCTAAGGTTTGCAACAAATAGTTGTGTTATGAAGAACGGAAGGGACGAGGCAAGCGTACTTCCACTTTCCCATCCCTTCTGTTCTCTCTTTTCAAAGAGAAGTTGTTGATCGTAACACACTATTTTTCCAAAACGTGATTCCTCAATTTCATATTTAGGTTCTGTCGTATTAAAGGGGGTTCCGGCAGACATCTCTTTCGATGATGACTACTCGAAATCCCCAAAATACGACAGAATTATTTGTTTGAATCCAACGTTTTGTATGAACCCAACCAACTGATTTACAACCTTGGGTTCATATAAATGTGTTAGCTTCAATAACAACTAATTTACAACCTTTCCTATGTTTTTAGTTTAGAGGTGATGGCTAATTATAGACAATGAATTGGGAAATTCATTAACCACTCATTTTAAATTTGACTTATGGGAATCATGTGTTTTGCTGGTAGTGCTTTTTTAAATGGCTGGTTGAAAATGAACACTTGATTCAACACAATTATGTCCGATCGAGTTCTAATTGTGTAACATACTTACATTTCACAGATTTGGGGTCTTATTTGGTAAACGACTAATCCTAATTTAGTTTTGATATTTGGGGTACTATCGATTACAAATCTAAATCTACGACTAGAATAAAGTGTTGTTTTATTTTGTATATCTTATTATAAAGTGTTGTTTTACACATATATATATATCTTTGATATAAAATTACCATTTAGGATATCAGTATAACTTTTATTTCAAATTTTGTATATATAACTAATTAAGTTAATAATGCAGATATTAATAGTCAACTTTGTTTTGTAAGAATTGTACTATCGTTTATAGAAAAATAAAAGGGAAATCATAGATGTTTGTTTTTTACTTAACATAAGACTATAGTTAGTTACGTCTATTTACTGTTGAATATTTAAATAGTTAACTATGGGCTTGTTAAAAATTGGTACTCAAAAGATCTGAAAACAAAAAGTAAAGGAGTGATAATTTTAAAATTAGATATCTCTCCTCACCCCTACCGAAATTACATTTTTACCCCTAATTCGATTTAACAAAAAATAAATAAACTGATATTTGCAAAAATACCGTATCATGTAAATTGTATGTTATCGCTATAAATTATAAGTTATTTGATAACTTCATAGTTATATAGTTAAATTATTTATAGTTATTCATATGTTAGCACTATTAGCTATGTAAATCATATGTTACCGCTATACATTATAAATTATTTGATAATCTCATAGGTATATAATTAAATTATTTATGTTAGCGCTATAAATTATAAATTATTTGATAAACTCATAATTATCGAGTTAAATTATTTATTATATAATTGATATCAACTAACTTATATATTAATATGTTAATTTATTATGATATTTCATCTGTTATGTTAACTTATACATAAGAAACATATAAATGATATGATATAAACATAGAAACATATAAATGATATGATATAAACATATAAACATATAAATGATAAAAGAAAAAAAAATATAAATGATATGTAAAAATTGTTCTAAAATTTTATGGATATCTATTTTGTTATGTGTTAAAATATTTGTTATCTATATTAGGGGTAGCTTTGTCCAATTTAAATAGCCAAGAGAGAGAACTAATTAAAAAAATAGCATGTGTAGATTCTTAATTTTTATTTTATTTGAGTACACCCTAGTTTCCCGTTAACTATTCGTTGCACAAAAAGCAAAATTAAAATAATATATATATATATATATATATATATATATATATATATATAATAATTAATCAATCCAGATCTTCTTTATATTCTAGAAGCAAAGAAGGTGAGTTAAAGACAGAAGAAGAAGATTGCCTTGTTAAGAGAATGAAGCAATTTTTTAGATATTTTCTCAGTCAGATTCTCCCGGAGAAGCTTCTATGAATGACATCTAGTGTTCGTCGTCTTCCGCCTCCTTTGCTTGACTTAAGGGTAATCCTCTGTTACTTCGTTTTCAGCTTTCGTTTTTTCTGCAATTCCAGTTAGTTAGAGAATCGATTTATCATCTCTCTGTGCTTAGTGCTTAGTTACTTTGGAGATTTAAGGAAAAGTCTATCACATTAGCTGAAATATCGCAATTAGGGTTTGCTTCAGAATGCTTTTGAGGCATTAAATTTCAATACTTTAGCACTTGGATCTTACATGCTACTCTACTTCTTGTTTACTCCTAGTGTATATGGCTTTTACCCATTTACTTGTCTTTGCTCCTGATGCTGTTGTTGTGATCTGTAATGCACTCTCTCAAAATTCCCTTTTTTTGTGTGTGCAGATTTTGAAAAAATCCATTAGCAGTAGTAGATTTATTCAAGAACAGCATTATTGTCAAACACTGAAGAAATAATGATGAATCTTTCCAAGTTTCATGTGATACTAATCCAATTACTCTTCGTCATTTCACTTCTTTCGCCATTTCTCTCCACTTCGACACCTATCAACATTTGGCCAAAGCCGAGATACCTGTCATGGCCTCAACATATAGCCATTGTCCTCTCTCCAAAATTCACCATCCTTGCCCCTGAACACCAATACCTTTCGGCCTCTGTAACACGCTATCACAACCTGATCCGCTCTGAGAATTACTCGCCACTCATTACACATCCTGTCAAATTTATGAAAGGTTACACCTTGAGCAACCTTAAAGTCATTGTGACTGATCTTTCTCTTCCGCTTCACCACGGCGTTGATGAGTCTTATAACCTCTCCATCCCCATTGGCAGCTCTTCAGCCCACTTGTTAGCTCCGTCGGTTTGGGGAGCTATGCATGGCCTTGAGACATTCTCTCAGATGATTTGGGGAACATCTCCTGATTTGTGCTTACCGGTTGGCATTCATATTCAGGATTCTCCTTTGTTTGGCCACAGAGGCGTTTTGCTCGATACATCCAGGAATTACTATGGAGTTGATGATATAATGAGAACAATTAAGGCCATGAGTGCAAACAAACTCAATGTCTTCCATTGGCATATCACTGACTCGCAATCTTTTCCGTTAGTGCTTCCTTCTGAACCTTCACTCGCTGCAAAAGGATCTTATGGACCAGACATGGTATACACTCCTGAGGATGTCTCTAAGATTGTTCAATATGGTTTTGAGCATGGAGTTAGAGTACTTCCTGAAATAGACACTCCTGGTGAGTCAATACTTGATTTGCTCTTGCACATACATGAACTTAGCTTGGCTCTAACGGATACTGTTAAACATGACAGGCCATACAGGATCGTGGGGAGAAGCTTACCCGGAAATAGTGACATGTGCCAACATGTTTTGGTGGCCTGCTGGTAAAAGTTGGGACGAACGGTTAGCTAGTGAACCCGGGACTGGTCAGCTTAACCCCTTGAATCCTAAAACATATGATGTAGTTAAAAACGTCATACAAGATGTTGTTAAGCAATTTCCAGAATCTTTCTTTCATGGAGGTGGAGATGAAGTTATCCCAAGCTGTTGGAAAACCGATCCTGCCATAAAATCTTTCATGTCCTCTGGTGGAACACTAAGTCAGCTTCTTGAAAAGTACATAAACTCTACATTACCTTACATCGTGTCACAGAACCGTACAGTTGTTTACTGGGAAGATGTTCTGCTGGATGCACAAATCAAGGTGGATCCATGGGTTCTACCTAAAGAGCACATAATCTTACAGACTTGGAATAACGGTCCTGAGAATACAAAGAGAATCGTAGCTGCTGGTTACAGAGTAATTGTCTCTTCATCAGAGTTCTACTACTTAGACTGTGGTCATGGCGGTTTTCTAGGGAATGATAGTATATATGATCAGCACGGAGGCGGTGGTGGGTCTTGGTGTGCACCTTTCAAGACGTGGCAGAGCATATACAACTATGATATAACCTATGGTTTGCTCGATGAGGAAGAGAAGAAGCTGGTGCTAGGAGGAGAAGTTGCGTTATGGTCAGAGCAAGCTGACTCGACGGTTTTAGATTCACGGCTTTGGCCCCGTGCCTCTGCGTTTGCAGAGAGCTTGTGGTCAGGGAATAAAGACGAGAGAGGTGTTAAGAGGTGTGGTAAAGCTGTTGACCGGTTAAACCTCTGGAGGTATAGGATGGTGATTAGAGGGATTGGAGCTGAACCAATTCAGCCATTGTGGTGTTTGAAGAATCCTGGGATGTGTAATACAGTTCACGGCGCTCTTGAAGATAAATAACAAGAGAAAGTTTCGAAATTGGATCCGACTCAGAGAAAACAAAAACATAATCCTGATCAGGGTCTTTTGATTGTTGTACTTCTTTACTTGGTAGTTAGGGTTGTAATGTTCACATGCTGAAGTTGTTCGGTTTTTTTATAATTAGTTAAAAGTTATGGGGTTAAAGTGGAAATATTCGTTATTTACCGGACTACAAACAAATGTCATAACTTTTTTGTTCTCTTCCAAAGTCTGTATTTTTATTTGTTACTTCGAGACTGATACTTCAACGAGATCCCTAAAATCCGATACTGAAATCTCCAGGTACACCTTTCAGTCGATATGTCGATTTCGAAAATCTCAAGTTTCGACTTTTATAGTATCTGTTCATTGATCTTCCATGGCTGCTCGTCTTTCCTGTATATCTTTACTCCACTTCAATTGCTTCGTTACTTTTCATGGCTAATTTATTGCAAAAAGTGATATTTAAGCTGATGAGATGCTTTTGTACAGGAATTTTGATTCCTTGATGTAACCTGAAGAGAATTGTGATTGAAGGATTTATTATGAGTGTTAGATGGCCAAGAGTTCTAACGCCAAGCCTTCTTTCTCAAATCCTGAAGAAGCAGAAGAACCCAGTAACAGCACTTAAACTTTTTGAGGAAGCAAAAGAGAGGTTTCCTAGTTACGGTCACAATGGCTCTGTTTATGCCACCATGATTGGTATCCTTGGTAAGTCCAACCGTGTGTTGGAAATCAAATATGTCATTGAGAGAATGAAGGAAGATTCCTGTGAATGTAAAGATTCAGTTTTTGCATCGGCAATTCGCACATTCTCCAGAGCAGGAAGGCTGGACGATGCCATTTCTCTCTTCAAGAGCCTTCACGAGTTCAACTGTGTGAACTGGACTCTATCTTTTGATACTCTTTTACAGGAAATGGTTAAAGAATCAGAGCTTGAAGCTGCTTGTCATATTTTCCGCAAGTATTGTTATGGTTGGGAGGTGAATTCTCGTATTATGGCTCTGAATTTGCTTATGAAGGTTCTTTGTCAGGTCAATCGTTCTGACCTGGCGTCTCAGGTTTTTCAAGAGATGAATTACCAGGGTTGTTATCCGGACAGAGACAGTTACAGGATTTTGATGAAGGGGTTTTGTCTTGAGGGGAGACTTGATGAAGCCACACATCTGTTGTATTCAATGTTCTGGAGGATCTCACAGAAAGGATCAGGTGAGGACATTGTGGTTTATAGAATTTTATTGGATGCGTTATGTGATGCTGGGGAGGTTGATGAGGCTATCGAAATTCTTGGTAAAATCTTAAGAAAAGGACTAAAGGCTCCGAAACGATGTTATCATCATATCGAAGCTGGTCACTGGGAGGGTAACAGTGAAGGTATAGAGCGGGTGAAACGACTGTTAACCGAGACTTTGATCCGAGGTGCAATCCCCAGTTTGGATAGCTATAGTGCCATGGCTACTGATCTTTTTGGGGAAGGTAAGCTTTTGGAAGGTGAAGAAGTGCTTCTTGCAATGAGAAGGAAAGGCTTTGAGCCAACACCATTGATTTACAGTGCCAAGATTAAAGCACTTTGTAAAGCTGGGAATCTTGAAGAGGCAGTTTCTGTAATCAATAAGGAGATGATGGAAGGTCATTGCCTTCCAACAGTTGGAGTGTATAACGTTCTTATAAAAGGTCTCTGCGATGAAGGAAGATCGCTGGAGGCTGTTGGATATCTCAAAAAGATGTCTAAGCAAGTTTCTTGCGTAGCGAACGAAGAAACATATCAAACTCTAGTGGATGGTTTGTGTCGTGATGGTCAATTTGTTGAAGCAAGTCAGGTCATGGAAGAGATGTTGATAAAATCATTCTTTCCTGTTGTTGAAACTTACCATGTAATGATAAAAGGTCTATGTAATATGGACCGGCGATATGAAGCAGTGATGTGGTTAGAAGAAATGGTTAGTCAAGATATGGTGCCGGAATCTTCTGTATGGAAAGCTTTGGCGGAGTCTGTCTGCGTTGGTGCCATTGATGTTGCTGAGTTACTTGAGCATCTGATTATTAACAAACGTTAATCACATAACTACTGCTGCTTGTATCTTAGTTAAAGCTTAATACGTTTTTGTGAAATGTAATTGTTTCAGTTAACAGGTTCTTTGACGTTTACATGTTACTTTCATTTTTTCCCCGTCATTTGCAGTTTATTACATGTAAAAATATATATTTAACATAGAAAAATGATGAATTTTGTAATTGATAGAAGTGTGTTATTCAAAGGATGGAGTTGTTTGGGATCTCTGCGTTTCGAAGTATGACAATGATTCCATCTCTTATAACGTAACCTTCAGCTTCTCGATTTCCTTCCTCAACATTGTCTCTGTTAATAATCTGTGGAATCGTATTTTAAAGGAAATTATAAGTTAACAAATTGAAATAAATTTACATTGGAATATGTAAAATAAAGCTTAGCAGCAAGTTTACCATGACGTTTTTGCCAATCCTGGCATTTTTATCAACAATGGCTCTTCTTATTCGACTCTTTTCACCGATCCCTATTCGGATATTTATCTTCTTCTCCCTCCCTTTTCTTCTTACATCTTCTTCCATCTGTAAACACCATTCGTGACAAAACTTGTGTGTTTTAACATTACAATATGGGATTCATTAGTCTTATTTCGATCCAAGAAACCCAGTTTACCTCATATATATCCGAACCGACGATGACTGAATCCTCTACAATCACTTCATCAGCGATTCTTGTTCTCATTCCAACCACGGATCCTCTGATGACACATCTCTGCTCAAGCCCATCATTACATACAATAAGACCACGATGACCTTTATAAAACTTTTGATCAACACTGGCTGCTAGGGTTTTAAAGTTAAAAGGAGAGTAATTTTTGCAAATTACATCGAGAATGCAACCGTCTCCGATAATACTGTCGGTTATTACAGCTTCACTCATGGAGGTTGGGGGCAAACACCGAGGCATTGTGTACAGTGGACATTGTCTGTCGTAGAATCTGTTACTACAATAAAAAGAAACGTTGACTTGAATCACATGTTGATGTTATCTCATTTAGATGTCTCACAAGGTTTTACATTACTTGAGTCCCAATCTACACCTCTTAATACTCTCCATATTAGCTCTATAGTAAGCTCCAACGCTCTTCACATCTTCCCAATATCCGTCAAACATATGAGCTTTCACCTGAAAAACCAGAGTTTTAGTCACAATCTATATAGGCTAGGGGTTGCTTCTTCTTTTCTCTCTCATACTTTTTACCTTCATGCCTTCAGAGATCGCACCAGGAATGATTTCGCTGGCCAAGTCTTTCGCTTTTACCAAACATTCTCTCAGAAGCTTCACCATCTGTTCTCGACCGATCACGTAAATCCCTGTGCTTGGGACACAGCAAGAAGAAGTTTCTTCACTTCTTGTTGTTCTGTTTTCCACCTGCACTTTTAACATTAGTGGCCAGATGATTCTGAATCCCTAAATACAGAACATTATAGAGATATCTAACTTACAGAGATAAAATCTTGTTGATCCTTCTCAGGTTTGATTGAGAATCTGGTGACGAGATTTGTGGAATCAACTTCCATGAAACCAAAACCAGAGTCATGGTCTGTAGCAGAGCTTAGTCCAACAATGGTTATATCCGCTCTACTTCTTCTGTGATCTTCGATTAGCGTCTTGTAATCCATTTTGTAAAGATGAAATCCAGGAAGAACCAAGAACTCAGTCACTGGAAACTCTTCAAATACCCACAAGCACCTTCTTATCGCATCAGCAGTTCCCTTTTCGTAACACACAAGAGAGAAACAAATATTTCGTAAGGAACAAGAAAGAAACAGGGAAAAACATGACTTTAGTTTTACTAAACCTGAAACCATCCTTGATCTTCAAGGCTCTGATAAGCGGCAATGACTTCAACGAATCTGTCTTTTTCGATTCCGAATCCACTGTAAGCTCTGGACAGATGTGAATTGAGAGAAGTGGAATTGAACTGAGTGATTGCATAGATCTTGGTGATGTCACTGTTGATGCAATTACTGATGACTGCATCGATAAGTCTGTAGTTTGCAGCAATAGGAATGGCTCCTTTGGATCTTGTTTTGTTAAGAGGATAAAGCTCAGGGTCTGATCCTCCTCCGAACACTATAGCTGCGACACTTTGGTTCAAAGGAGAGTTAGAAACAGAGAGATTAGGACATGAGCTTGGAACAAAAAGCTGCTTCAAGTTGTAGTTATGTCTCCATTGATGTTGATGATCACTACTCGATCTTATCATATGATGATGATTGGTCAATTTGATAGAAGAAGAAGTAGAAGAGATCTGCATATTCGATTATGAGCAGAGATGATGATTCAAGAAACAAGAAAATTGGGTTTGATACTTGAGAATATAAGGTGTTGGTATAATGATCTGGTTTGGACACTGAAACGTGAGATGGTGAAAACCGTCCGACATTTCCTGTTGCAGACATATTTTTAGCCTTTGCCTTTGCTTGTGAAGCTATATCTTCCTAAAACCTCTTTAACTTGTCCTGTCCCTTGAGATTTGATACCTAGCTTCTTAGGTTCTTTTTCTTTTTTTGTACGTTATTTTGTAAAGAGGCATATTATTAGTAATATTATAGTACAAATATATTCGATCTAAGCTAAATACTACAAAGAAAGGAGCTAGAGAAGGAAATGAGAAACAAAAAAAAAAGGAGAATCTAGGAGAAGCTTGAAAAGGAAACTTGAGAGGTTTTGAGATGCACATGAACCATGTGGAAGTGGAAAATAAACTCTTGTATGATTAACAAATCTTATAAGAAATATTTCCAAATATTTTCATAGATAGATGACGAGAAAGAAAGATATCGAATGCAAAGCTTCAACTCAGCATCATAAACATTCGAGTAATTATGATTTCTCAAAAAAAAAAAAAGAAGAGATCATATATAATTTTATAAGCGAACGTTGTTATGACATTGTTTGTTCCCATTTATAAAAAAAAAAGAAAAAAGAAAAAAAGAAATCACTCAAGAGAAGAAAAGTTAATAAGGTTGCTGCAAAAAAAGGAAATGGAAACTGATCATAGCGGTACACAACGGTCATATTATGTAACAATTTTATCATTGGGGATTTTTTTTATTTTACCGCCGTTCGTTCGTTCGTTCTGCTATAACTAATTAACTACTATAGCTCTGTTTTTTTTTTTACCGCTAGTCGAAGTAAAAGAACGTTAGAATGACAAAAACCAAAAGTAACCTGTATACAAGATAATGCAAAAACTTTATAAAGATTTTTTTTTAATCTTTATTTTTTTCACCTGCAACGTATCATGCAAAAACTTCATACAGATAATGATATGTATTATAACTTTATTTTTTTTGGTAGGAAGGTTTATAACTTTATCAGCGAGTCCTAATGTAACCAAATTAAAAGGATAACTAAGTAAGTAGATTGACATCAGTTTTTCAACATATAACTATTATTGACATCAGTTTTTCAACTATTTCAATTTCTTGAGAGACAAAACGCACTAATATAATAATAGTTGCCTTACTTTGTCCCCCCAAAAAAATAAGAAAATAATAATAATAATATTTATAGTTGCCAAAAATACATAAATCATTGATAAGTATTAAATATTCAATGAATCTTAGCACAATAAAACCAAAAAAATAAATTAAAAAACTGAAAAAACCTGAATAAATAAATAGAGTCTGGCAAAAACAAAACAAAAAGACAAAAAAAACACCGAAGAAAAATAAAGTAAAACCATCCTAAAGAAATAAACAGGTGTGAGGTAAGCCATCACTGGTTTGATCCTTGATCACTAACTCAGAGCTCATCCTCCCAGTCCCAGATATGGATTTGCCTGACTCAGTTGACGAAGTAGGAACCATAGCGAAATAGAGTTCCTCACCAACGTGGAATGACCAGAGGCGAATCTCATCGTGTTTCTTTAGCTGGTACTCTTTGACCACACGATTCCACCCACCTTTCAAATAGTATGGAGGATTGTCCCCTACGTTCCATCTCACCAAATTCAGTTCAAACTCCTTTAGATCAGAACCCACGAGTACCGAGTCTACTCCTCCTTTGCACAACTTTTTGCCATGTCGTCTTTCTATGATCCTTTCTTCCGAGGGTCTTAAGAACTGAAGATCATGTATCTGGTGGAAAGGTATGCAGAGACGACAGAAGTGTGAAGCGACATCGGTTGCAGTCAAACCCCTATTTATGATATTTCTTGGATCTTGTCCATTCTTTTCCCTCATCAACTGCACCAGCCACTCCGGCGTCGTCTCTCTATTCTCAGAGAGAGAGGCTCCCGCTTTAAAACGACCGTTGGCCATGCGTGTTGCTTTCTTAGGTTGTTGTCTCCTGGGAGGAAGACTAAGAGGACGTCTCTTGATATTTCTTGTGGGTTTTGATGAAGATTCCTTGTACGAGACGTCAAGAGTACTATCGGCTTTAGGAGGGTCTTCTTTTTCGGTGGCAAAACTCTCTATCGAATAAGAGACATGTAACCTCAAGGTCCTCTCCTTTCGTGGAAATCGAATAAAAACTCTATATTCCCTATCTATTGCCTCCACCACACACCGTTTCAGCCTCGTAGGTATTGCGTGCCTCCATATGAATAATAACAATGAAGCTTCTTCTTCCTCTTCTCGAATAACCATGGCTACAAACCTGGTGATATACCAATACACAAAACTTTCATATATATATATATATATAAGGTTTCTCTTGAATTTATCAGGAGATTTTGGATCATTTTTCTCATATAGGAATGAATTAGAGATTATCCACTATTATTTTTTCCCCCAAAAATTGTATTTTATCATTTTAATTTGAATGAAAGAGATAATCCAGAGGTTTTTGTTTTACTTATCTTTAGTGAACTAAAACTCAGTTTCCTCGAGAGTCTTATTGTGTACATATATAATCAAAAATAAAAAGGAATAACATCAGGTTTCATGCCATTCAGTACTAACTTGCAGGTCAAGTAAAATAAAGAATCGGTTTTGTTGGACCAATATAAGCATATAAGGAAACCGAGTCTGAATAGAGCCGGTATTGTGGGGTTTCTTCTATTTGGTTTGGTACATTTTGTTTAAACCAAAATATCATGAACCAGGTGGTAAAAATAAGGCTGAACCGGTGTGTGAGATGCGCAACAATAACCGGTTAAGGAATCTCGCCTCTGGTTTTCACCTTTCAGACCAAGACAATATTTTGCCAAAACACATCAACCAACTCTCCTAACGTAGATCCTGTCTGATACTTCGAGTAAAGAGGACAACAAATTCTGAGTGGAAAATATCGAAAAGAGATCAAGAGAGACGTGACTGAATAAAAAAGTCGTTTTTTTTTCTATATACAGTAACAGACAAACGGAGGATAACAAACCCACGTCTGCAGACTGAGATGAACATAATTTAACTCCAAAAGGCTCTTTTCTGATGTGTATAAAAAAAGTTGGGGTATTACGAGGAGAAAATCTTAGCTTTTTTTTTTTGGGGGCATTTGGGGTCCCTTCAAAAGTCTCCGCCTTTGCCGTGTCGAAGCAATGGGAGAACGCAAGAAGATTATCATCGATACTGATCCTGGAATCGGTATAACTCATACTCTCTCCTCTTCTTTTTTTTTTTTTTAAATTGGATTCGGATCTCTGTTTCTCTACTGCCATCCCCCAACGTCTTTGAATCTTTTGGGTTTACTGAGAATTCTAACTTTAGTGGCACTACTTGGTTTACTGATGATTCAAAAATCTGGGTTCAATGAGATTCTGAGAAATCGTAGATCTGAGTTTGATCCATAGAATTCATGAGTTTCTTATCACTGGATTTGATGATATTGCAGATGATGCAATGGCGATATTCGTGGCTTTAAACTCACCTGAAGTTGATGTGATTGGCCTCACTACTATTTTTGGAAACGTGTATACTACCCTCGCCACTCGAAACGCCTTGCACTTGGTATCAATCACTTTTGTTTGTTCATATGGATCTCATTACTGCCTTGTGAGATGATCTAATCATAATATATATCTCTAGTTGGAGGTTGCAGGCAGGACTGATATTCCTGTGGCTGAAGGAACACATCAAACTTTCCTGGTATGTTTTTTTTTTATTGATATGTTACGGTGAGAAAGATGGATGTTATACGTGTTGAAGATTCCAAGTCAACATTGATCTTTAGTGAACATAGTAGTTGAAAATTCCTAGGGAGTTTTAAGACCGGATCTGCTTTATAAGTCAGTTGGCTAAGCTAATTTGTGCGTTTTTTCCCCTCTTCTATATATTTGCCTTTGATAATTTGTTGTCTTTTCTTTATGTAAAGAAAGAAAAGAAGGTTCGGATTGCTGACTTTGTTCATGGAAAAGATGGACTTGGTAACCAAAATTTCCCTCCACCTAAAGGAAAGCCAATTGAAAAGTCTGGACCTGAGTTCTTAGTTGAACAAGCAAAGCTTCACCCTGGCCAAATCACCGTTGTTGCTTTGGGACCACTAACAAATATAGCTTTGGTATGTCCTGAAATTTTCGTTTTATGGTCCTCCATAGCTATCATCTTATGGAAGATTTTCATTTTACCTTGATGCAGGCTGTTCAGCTTGATCCAGAGTTTTCGAAAAATGTCGGACAAATTGTGCTTCTTGGTGGAGCATTCGCAGTAAACGGAAATGTAAATCCAGCTTCGGAAGCTAATGTAAGTTACTTCGTCTGTTAAAAAGTAATTGTGATCTTCTTAGACATTAAAACTGAATATGACATCTTCTTGTGTAGTAGAGTTGGTTTGCTTAGTTGTCATATATTTTCTATCCAAATTTCTGGTTAGGGTAGATTTTTGGAGATCCAGAAGCTGCAGATATTGTCTTCACATGTGGAGCCGATATAATTGCTGTGGGGATCAACGTGACCCATCAAGTTGTTATGTCAGGTTATTTGGAATATCTTTTTGCCTGATTTGATGTTTTTATAAGAACTTAATCTAGCGAGACAGAGTTTAGTTTTGCACAAATTGATAGATCTTTTGTTTTGTTCTTTTTCTTTCCGGTGTTTATGCAAATATTTAGCTGACGACAAGGACAAATTGGCATCATCGAATGGGAAGTTAGCTCAATATCTCTGTAAAATCCTTGACGTGTACTATGATTATCATCTTACGGCTTACGAAATCAAAGGTATGATTTGATAAATCATTTTGTATATAGATAGACACAAATATAACAAAAGTTTCTATATGTGTGTGTGGTAGGTGTCTACCTTCATGATCCTGCAACGATCCTAGCGGCTTTCCTTCCGTCTCTGTTCACTTATACAGAAGGAGTAGCTAGAGTGCAGACAAGCGGTATTACTAGGGGACTCACTTTACTGTACAACAATCAAAAGAAGTAAGGTTTTCATTCGTGATAGACAGTTATGTATATCATAGAGAATTTATAAATATCGTACCCTTTGGATTTATCGGCTGAACAAATCATGCAATATATGTGGTGATCTTTTTTAAAAAAAATTGTGAATTAGGTTTGAGGAAGTGAACGAGTGGTCAAACAAACCATCGGTGAAAGTGGCGGTGACAATTGACGCTCCTGCGGTATTGAAGCTCATAATGGATAGGCTTATGAAGTCTTAGACTCATCTCTCTTGTTTGATGCTTCACTTCTTGTGAGCTCATTTCTCATGTTTCCAAGGCAAACCTAAAGGCTCTCCTCTTGCTTCAATATTGTCATTTAAGTGCTTTTTAAAAAAGAAAAACTTTTTTATTCAACCGAAAACATTATCAATTTTACCATTTGATGACCTACAAATAATAAAGTTAATTGTTTCTCCCAAACTCCATGACCATAGAATTCAATTACTGTTTTTAACAAAATAGTGAAAAAGGCAAATTTCCAAAAAGTTCATAATGGGCTTCACTTGAATGGGCTTGACTTGAATGGGCCTACAGTTGCCTTTCCACGTGCACCAGTTGAAGGGGCATAATCATAAATCTGTAAAAAAAGAAGAAAAGAACGTGAGAAGGACTGCAATTGATATTTATATATCTCTTTGACTGCGTCTTCCTTCCTTTTGGAGAATCACGGAACATTCTTTTTTTTTTTTTTTTCGTTTTGAGAAGCTCTCTCACAAGAAGAAGAAAGAAGAAGAAGAGGAAAACCGAAACTCATGAAATTAAGAAAGACCAAGACTTTCGGTTCCGTACACTTGTCTTCGTCATGTATCTCTCTCCTTCTCCTTCTTCTTCTCTTTTGCTTTCTCTCTCCCACCACCACGACGTGCTCTCCTCTCATTCTCCTTTCTCCTGACTTCTCCTCTCACTTTCTCTTCGCCATTCGTTCCTCCTATCCCTTTCATCATCATCCATGGATTCACCGCTGATCATCGAAGACGAAGACGAAGAGGCACTGTCCACGCTCGTCCGTGTTCCGCCGCATCGTAAGACGCATTCTTACAGCTTACAGTTCGACGAAAAGCCTCACCATCAGATCCGCAAACACAGCCTCGACGAGGTTCCTAGATCCGCCACATTAGGATCCGACGCCGTTTATTTCGACTCCTCCGACGACGAGTTCTCTACCAATGGTAACCTCGTTATAGGAGAAAACGCCGGTGATGGAAGCGGCGGAGGAGCTGAGGATTACGTCATCGTTAATCCTCCTCCTAATGTTGGTGTCGGGGAAGACGATACCGAGCCTTTGCCGGAATTCATCGGCGCCGGAGGAGGTTCCGGGATATTTAAGGTTCCGGTGCGTGCGGCGGTTCATCCCGGAAGACCACCCTGTCTTGAGCTGAGGCCACATCCGTTGAGGGAGACGCAGACTGGGAAATTCTTGAGGAACATTGCCTGTACGGAGACGCAGCTTTGGGCTGGCCAAGAGGATGGTGTGAGGTTTTGGAATTTGGAAGATGCGTATGAGGCAGGGTGTGGGGTTGGCGGCCAGGTACGGCGAGGGGATGAGGATACAGCGCCGTTTCATGAGTCTGTTACTACTTCTCCCACTTTGTGTTTGGTGGCTGACCAGAGCAACAAGCTTTTGTGGAGTGGTCATAAGGATGGCAAAATCAGGGCTTGGAAGATGATGGATCAGAGTTCTGCTTCTGATGATGATGATGATTCGAATCCTTTCAAGGAACGAATCTCGTGGCAAGCTCATCGTGGTCCCGTGAATTCCATTGTCATTAGCTCTTATGGTTAGTTACTTCTGATTCAGTCTATGATTTTGACTTTTGAGGATTGATTGATCTGAAAAGTATGTTTGATCATCTTTGCGTATGCTTGTCGTTATGATGTAGGTGATATGTGGTCATGTTCTGAAGGAGGTGTGATTAAATTATGGCCTTGGGATTCGTTAGAGAAATCTCTTCTGCTTAAACCGGAAGAGAAACACATGGCTGCGTTATTAGTGGAGAGGTCTGCTATTGACCTCAGGAGCCAAGTTACTGTCAATGGGACATGTAGCATATCTTCCTCAGAGGTCAAGTTTTTGTTAGCCGATTCAGTAAGAGCTAAAGTGTGGGCTGTGCAGTCGCTCTCATTCTCAATCTGGTAGGCTTTTTTTTTTTTTTTTTTTTTTTCTGGCAATGTACATTGGTAGAAGGACTGTTTCATTCATTGGGTTTGTTTATCATTGTAAGATGTATGTGTGCTCAGGGATGCTCGGAGTAAAGATCTTCTGAAAGTTTTAAGTGTTGAGGGGCAAGTTGAGAATCGTGTGGACATGCCACCTATACAAGATCAACAAGTTGATGATGAGATGAAACTGAAATTCTTCTCTGGTTCAAAAAGGGAAAAACCACAGGGCTTTCTGCAGCGATCACGTAATGCCATAATGGGAGCTGCAGGAGCGGTTCGCCGAGTCGCCACTAGAAGTGCAGGAGCATTTTCGGAAGATACTAGGAAAACAGAAGCTATTGTGTTAGCTGTAGATGGAACAATTTGGACTGGAAGCATAAGTGGACTAATTGTTCAGTGGGATGGAAATGGAAACCGCTTGCGGGATGTTAATCACCATCACCGGCCTGTTTTGTGCTTTTGTACTTTTGGTGATCGAATATATGTGGGTTATGCAAGTGGCTACATCCAGGTCTTGGATTCTGATGGAAAGCTAATTTCAAGCTGGGTTTCACACAATGAACCTGTGATAAAGCTAGCAGCAGGTGGTGGTTTCATTTTCAGTCTGGCAACTCATGGTGGGGTACGAGGATGGTATGTGACATCTCCAGGACCCCTGGACAACATAATCCGAACGGAATTGTCTCAGAAAGAAAGTTCATATGCCAGAAAAGACAATGTTAGAATTTTAATTGGTACCTGGAATGTTGGCCAAGGACGGGCTTCACACGATGCACTTATGTCCTGGCTGGGCTCTGTCACTTCAGATGTAGGCATTGTCGCTGTTGGGTTGCAAGAGGTGGAGATGGGGGCAGGTTTCCTTGCCATGTCTGCTGCTAAGGAAACGGTAACTCCTTTATTACAAATTTGATTTTGTTTGAACTAAAACTTTGACGTCAGGGATGAAATCCAGTAAAGCATCTGATTATTGAGAGAAAAGCATTCACTTGCATGTTTAGAACATTTTATTTCAATATATATGCTGTCATGCTGTCATCTACATATTTGGTTTCACCATATTTGGATTGCATGTGTAGGTTGGACTTGAAGGAAGTGCTGTGGGGCAGTGGTGGATTGATGCAATTGGAAAAGCACTTGATGAGAAGAATACTTTCGAGCGTATGGGCTCAAGGCAGTTGGCAGGACTACTGATATCTCTTTGGTAAGTGAAAGTTCTTATGACATGTTGTTTATCTTCCGTGATTAACCCACTTAGTCTGTTCACTTGTTGTTTTCTCTTATTAAACTCATTGTGTGTTGTAATTGACTACTTAGGGCGAGGAAGGAGATTAGAACACATGTTGGAGATCTTGATGTTGCAGCAGTTCCATGTGGTTTTGGCCGTGCCATTGGCAACAAGGTATGTCTTAGTTCACCTCCACTTCATTTTGCCGCAATGTGTAGCTTCTCTTCTGTCTTGCTAACTTTTAGATGAGGATGCGTTTGTAAATGTTATATTCAAATTTGTTCCTCTTTGTGGAACTCGTTCTATTTACAAACATCAATTGCATACTTGTCAAACAGGGAGGTGTAGGTCTGAGAATCAGAGTTTATGACCGAATTATGTGCTTTGTGAATTGCCACTTGGCTGCACATTTGGAAGCAGTTAATCGCAGAAACGCAGATTTCAATCACATTTTTCGATTGATGGTGTTTTCACGGGGACAAAATCTAAATAACACTGCAGCTGGTATGGTGCCGTACCTGTTTTTGTCTTGCTCACTTGGCTTTTTCATATATTTATTTTGGCTACTTTATTCTTCTGGTTTGCCATGGGCCCTCTCTCTTGCAGCTTGTGTGTCAACAGCAGCTTATACAACAAAGAGTAACACTGTATGTTCTTATCATATTACTACTTCTAAACTTAAATTATATCTTTGCTTCAACATATCCGTCCCAAGATTATGCTGTTTGCTCATGTGTTTCTCTGTTTCCCAGATTCCAAGCACCGGCTCCGAAGAAATTAAGTCTGATCTAGCAGCAGCAGACATGGTCACATTTTTTGGTGATTTTAACTATAGGCTGTTTGGTATAACCTATGATGAAGCAAGGGACTTCATTTCACAGCGATCCTTCGATTGGCTCAGAGAAAGAGACCAACTTAGAGCAGAGATGAAAGTTGGAAAAGTCTTCCAAGGAATGCGTGAAGCATTAATCACTTTCCCTCCCACGTACAAATTCGATAGGAATCGCTCAGGCTTAGGAGGTAATAATGGATTTGAAATAAAGATGTTAACATATGAATTTGAGAAAAATTGAAACAGTTTTACTTTACTTCCTGCAACTTTTCCCAGTTTTATTCACTTTGGTTCCATAAAAACTTAAAACTTTCTGTGCTGTGTACTCTCCAGGTTATGATTCAGGTGAGAAAAAGCGAATTCCTGCGTGGTGTGACAGAGTTATATATAGAGATACTCAATCTAGCCCATTCTCAGAGAGCAATTTGCAATGCCCTGTAGTTTCATCGGTTATAATGTATGTATCATGACTACCCTTGTGATGTTTCTAGCTTTTTCTTGTCTCTTCAATTTTCTTTTGCACATTCTAACATTCCCACCTGCCTGTTTCAACAGGTATGAAGCGTGCATGGATGTTATTGAGAGCGATCACAAACCCGTGCGCTGCAAATTTCATGCGACTATAGCTCACGTTGATAAATCTGTGCGGAGACAGGAGCTAGGGAAAATAATAAGGTCTAATGAGAAGATACAATCCATTTTTGAAGATCTAAGATTGGTTCCAGAAATTACTGTGAGCACCAACAATATTGTTCTTCAAAGTCAGGACACAGTCATCCTAACAATCACAAACAATTCAACCACGAGCAAAGCCATTTTTAACATTCTATGCGCCGGTCAGGCTATAGTTAAGGATGACGGAGAAGATTCTGATTATAATCCACGAGGCTCCTTTGGTCTACCACGCTGGCTTGAGGTATTATATCTCTTTCAACGCCGAATGAAATTTATGTAGTATTCAAGATTTAATGATTTGCAAGAACTTGTTTCTTTTAGGTTTCGCCTGCGGCTGGGATAATAAATCCTGAAGGTTCTGTGGACGTGAAAGTTCATCACGAAGATTTTCACTCATTGGAGGAATATGTTGATGGCATCCCACAGAATTGGTGGTGCGAAGATACTCGAGATAAAGAAGCAATCCTGATGGTGAACATTCGAGGAAGCTGTTCAACTACATTGACTAGCCACTCTATCAAAGTCCGGCACTGCTTCTCAGCCAGAGTATGCCTCATTGAAGACAAACCCACGAACCTAACAAAAAACTTAGGCGGTTCACGTCGCTATCCAACAGATATTACCCGTAATGGAAGTACTAGACCAAGAACTGAAGACTCGGTTAGACGAGGTAAAAGCCGGTGATGAGCACTTGTTACATTGACAGTTTTAACTAGATCTTAGAGCAGAAGAACAACAAGTTCATCATAAAACAAATGCATCAGGTGAAGAATCAGTTTTATTCATTCTTTGTTTCTGTAGAAAATTCCTTGTGTCAACAAATTGTAGAATTCTTTGAGACTGTTCCCCAGGTAGTACGTATTCGAATTTTGTATCTCCTCACTTGTATCAAAATGGTTTACAGGTACGTGATCCTTGTATACATTTGTTACTCTTTACATTAAACTGCCGGTTCTGAAGAGTTTTTAGTCTCAGAGTGCATACATTCTCTTGTTGAATTCGCTATTGAGAATCTCCGACTCTGAAGGCATATGAGACAGTGAGAAAGATTTCGATTTGCTTCTCTCTTTCCTTAAGCTTTTCAGTTTACATTCCTCAATCCTATGCATGACCACACAGTAACACATTGCACCTATTGTGGTTAGCATAATCGTCCCGCCTATAACCGTTGCACAAATGGCCAGCCAAATGTCCTCCTCACCCACAACGATAAAAGAAAGAGAAACAAAGGCAATGGATATGAACAAACAAGCCAACCACATGAGCTTGTTGATCACAAACACAAGCTTCTTCTTTGCCTTCTGCTCAATCACCACAACCGAAGTCTGCACCACAACAACAGCCAAGGATATGAACAGCGCCAAGCTGTCGAATATGAAGAAGACTAAAAACGGGCCTTTGTTGGCTATGCGGGCTTCTCCTAACGATAACGGACCCTTTGTTCTTTCTTCTTCATATTGCCCAGGTATGGTGAAGATTGCTGCAAATGCAACTGTTGCAATTAGAACAGCCACAACGGTTGCTGAGTTTATGGCATTGTTCAAACCGTTTATGTGAAGCTTCTTTAGTTTTTTTGCGATTCTCTGAACCCTAACACCCGTTTGGCGAGACTGTTGAAGCTGAGACTGTACCTCGTGTTTAATGTCGCTGACTGTTTGCTTAAGTTGTTTAGCTGGGTTTTGAGGCTTCCCAAGATCTTTAGCTGTTGCAGCTCCTGCTTCCTTCAGAACCAACACTAGCTCTGAGTTTCCAATCTTTTCAGCTATATCAAGTGCGGTATCTCCAGCCTTGTTCATAGCATTGAGGTTAATTCCATCAAATGATACCAAACATCGAACTATCTGCAAGAAAAGACAATAAGCAGTTATTAGTATTCATATAGACTTTGAAACTTGGGGGAAAGCAATGATAATGATACCTTAGTACGGCCTTTGTTTGTGGCAACGTGCAATGGCAAATTCCCTTTATTATTCTCAACACTCAAAACTGCAGGGTCAGGTTTCACCAACTCAAGGACAATCCCTTCATTTTGACCTTTGACAGCCATGTGAAGTGCTGTTTGTCCCTTTTTATCGGTTCTAAATCCGATACTTGCATCACTACCTATCAAAGACTTAACAACTTCTCTGTGCCCCATCCGCGCTGCAGAATGAAGTGCGGTTTTACCATTGTTCTTAGCTATCTTAGCTAAATGAGGATTCGTCTTCAAAAGAAGATCCACCACATCAACGTGTCCTTGTGTAGCAGCCGTGTGCAATGCAGTTGTACACGATGAATCCGTCGTCATAGCCAGATTCGGAAATGTCTCCAACAGCTTCTTCAACGCCTCTGCAAAAGACAGTGCACATTCAAAGATTCATGTCAAAGAAAGTGTACAATACAACAAGTTCTTGAGCTATTATCAGACATCCAAAGTTTCTTCTTTTACCAAGATGGCCTTGTTTTGCTGCGACATGGAAAGGATCAAAACCGTTTCTTGCTGCAATTGATGCGGTATCAAGGTCCATATGTTTCAACATCTCTTCAACAACTAAGGAATACCCGTTTTCTGCTGCAGTGTACAGAGGAGTCTCTCCTTCTAGATTCTGCTTTGACAACAACTCCTTCAACTCTAGGGTACTGTTACAACCTCGAATCAGTTCCATAACCTTTCCCAAATTCCCCGTTCGAGCGGCAATGTGAAGAGGGAAATCACCTCTTTTACCAGGTGACTCATTCTTCTTCTTCCTCTCCCCACCACCATTCATGAAACTTAACTGTCTCTCCATTACTATCCGGAAGCTTTTCTGCTTCTCAACGAAGCCACGGAAGCTCCTCTGCCTCTCCATTGCCTTGTCTTGTTTCTCCATCGCTCTCCCTTTGATCCCATGCTTCTCTACATTCCCAGCTTGGAAACTAACTTGCTTCTCCAAAGGTCTTCCCTTTCTCGCTTGGTTCTCTCCCCCAACGCATCTGAGACCCTGCTGTTCCTCCATGGAACTACCTCGAAAACTCTCTTGCTTCTCCATTACAGGAGTCAAAGAATTCATCTCCGTCCAACCTCAGATTCGTACTACTAAGAAAGTATCCAAATCAAATTACACAAAGATATTGAAGAACAGTTTTTCCCCCAAATCTAAAGATCCCAACTTTGGTTGGATCTTCTCCAGCAAACCTCTTATATCGTTATAAAACAAAAGAGCTGGGAAAATGAATAACCCAGATTTCTTCTACAGATTCACAAGGATGTGACAAGAGAAGACAAAAAGGCTGGAGCTGATTTAAGTAAAGTGAAGTAGTAAAAGGTTTGATTTATGGAAAAGGGTTTGTAAATCTCAAGGCTTTTTGTACGCACACATGACACATGTTAGATTCTTTTAGTCGTAAAAGCCGTTGACGGAGATGCAAAGAGAGAGAGTGACTGAAGTGACAGCATCTTCAGCTGTTCAACTATTTAGCAGCCATCCCTTTCTTTATCAAATTACTTTAATTTTCCATATTTTATTAAATTCATTCTTATTTACTTTCTCATTTTACATCCAACATCACATCTAATTAAATTAGCTTATATTTCTCACGTTTCTTCTAGATTTGTCTTTTGTATTTTTGCTTGTACAGATCTAGCTATGTGCTGGATATATATAATACAAACACAAGCATAAAGCAATTGTGATGATCGAGTAGAACTCTTCAACTTTGTTAGTTATTGAAATTGATTTTATTAATAAAAAAAACAATGTTATATATTTGTACGTTACAGAAATTGGTGATCATATATATAGGTTGTTACAGAAAACTATTTTGAAAAATCAGTTTTCTAATAACATTTGACCGTTTCATCTTATCATACACAAAATAAATTTACACCAAGAAATATTTGATATATATATCATCGGTTTAGACAACTAGTAGGTTGAATAACGCCGAGGTTTTTCCCGACAGCATTGAAACAGTAGGAAGTAGCAGGAGTTCCTTTGTTGTAAGTAAGCTTAATGTCTTGTAATGTGATTCCTGTACATGGATTGCTCTTGCTGCACGCCAGCTTCATCGCTTGCTGCGTCGCCGACGTTCCTTGTATGTTCTTATACGTCACTTGGCTTATCTTCACCCCCGAATGCTATAATACATACATATAACATTAATCTTTAATTATTTAGACGACTAACTAAGTCGATATAACATATTAGTTTGGTTTAATCAAATATATAAATATGATATGGATATATACCTCAGTAGGGCAACCTAGGTTGGAGGGACAATAGTTTTGGTCGATTATGATAGGGTTTTGGACGTTCTTCATAATTAGGTTTTGGAAGAAGACGTTCCTAACGAATCCGGTACTCGGCCTCGCCCATGACTTTATCCTCACGCCGTTTTGTGTTCCGGTGAATACGGAACTCGATAGTGTCACGTTCTCTACTCCGTCTTCGTTTAACTGCTTCGCTAAGCTCCCAATGCTGCGATTCATTACATAATCATGTTAGTTTATGATCAATGAGTCATGAGTGCATTGCTTAATTTTTATATTAAGTTGGAAATTTATCATTCCTCAAATTAAATTGATAATACATAAAGCATTCTAAGAAATAAGACGGTGTGTGTATACCTAACCCCGTGACCTGGGCCACAAGCAAGTTTGGAAATGAGGAAGTTGCGGGTGCCAGGACCGATAGCAACACAATCGTCTCCGGTCTGAACGGTGCTTCCGGTTAACGTGATTCCAGTGGAGAATTGAACGGTGAAGCCGTCGGTGTTTGGGCTGTTTCCGGGAGCCACTAATCTGATGTTACGGACGGCCACATTGGTGCAACCGTTGAGGGTCATATGGCTGACCTGGCTGTTCATCGATTTCACTCCACTTATAACCACGTCTTTTGCCGAGTTGAACGATATTGACTACAGAAATGCATCAAAGATTTTATGAGATTGGTTTGTTGGCCGTTAGTTATTTTTGTACAAGTATATATATGAGGTAATTTAATAAAGCTCTGTAACTAACAAACAAAAAAAAAAGTTTAATAAAGTTTGATGCATATTAAATTAAAAGCAAGAATTATTGTAATCCGTAGTGACATAGATTAATAAATAAGACTATAACAATTTCATTTTATTTAGACCAAAGAGTCCATTCCCTAGTCCAAAAATCGATCGTTATTATACAACTTACTATTGTATATATATCGTTCATATATACTTAATTATCAAAAAAAAATTCCTAAAGTTGGCGTGTATGTACATATTGCAAAATAAATGTGCAACTTATCAACTTCATGTCCTTAGATCGTAAGTTAATAATTGGAAGATGGATTCTTCTTGACTTTTAGTAGTCAATAATGATTAAAGCTAAATATTATTGCTCTCTTGCATTATGGTGCTTGCGCTTATGTATAAAACAAAAGATAGAGGAGAAGCATATGTACCCTAACACCGGGAGGACAACTCTGACCAGATTTCCGGCAAGACCAGAACCCATCACCTCGAGCGTCGAAAGTTCCACCGACCAGTGAGAATCTGTTAACCTTGTTGAAGAGAATCCAGTAGCCGGAACTGCCAAAGGACCTGTAATCTGTGGGAGCAACGACTGTTCCGGTCACTTGAAACTTGAGTTTGCTCTTGCATGGCCCTCCAAACGTTATTGGCTTCAATAGAAATGTCCCCGTGGGAACCACCACGGTGGCTGAAGCTACAGAGCCACAAGCCCCTTGCCATGCCTTGAGGAACGCTGCGGTGGAATCGGTGACTCCGTCCGGTTTGGCCCCGAAGGTGACCACGTTGAAAACCATGGAGGCGCTGCTGGAGACATCGATAAAGGTGAGGAGGATGAAGAGAAGTGGTAATGTTATAGCTGATTTTGCCATTTTGTTTATATGCGAGTATGAGTATGAGTATGAGTTTGTGTTTGTGTTTGTGTTTGAATTGATTTGATGCATGGGTATATATATATAGAGAGAACGAGAGAGCAATTAATAATTGGTTCGTTATATATTAGCCGTCTTTGGTACAATTAATAATTGGCTCGCTATTGGGCGTCTATGGTACAATTAAGTACATGTGCTATCTATATGATGATAAGAGGTTGTGAATTTTTTTTATGATAGATAAAAGAGTTTACATTTCCAATCATTATAATTAGGTGCTCACATGGTTGATGGAATAGGATTTTTAGGAGCAACGGTCGTTGTATTAACGATGACATTTTTCCACATTATCAGTTTACCATCTATAATAATAATGGACCATATATATATGTATTATATAAGAGTATTTTATATTCTTGGTTTATCCGTAATATGTAGTTTTTATTTATTGATGAACAAAAATAAATGTACGTGGGAAACTACTTACTCAGCGATTCATTGCTGTATTTAGTTTCTTCCACGAAGGTAGAATGCATCATTACAACCAAAAACATATAAAACAAAAAAACTCGAGCAAAATTTACAATCTTTCGATTCATATATCTGTACGTATAATAATACGCACATCATCACGGAATTAACAACCTAGGTAAATATATTGACCCATATATGCATACGTGATGACATCACCACATATTTATATAACGTGACATGTGATCAACTTGCTGTCGACCCAGAAAAAAAGACATGTGGTAATTAATAAACTAACGCTCATCAAATTATTGAAACCAACCCAATCATATTCGTTAATCATTCTAATTATATCTGACTTACAGAAGAAAGTCAAAATCTATATATGGTTAGCTTAATTAGTTGTTGACATTCTCAATTCAACAACCATTGGCGGTTTAATTAGTATGATCATTCTTGCGCCGCTCTCGTTGAATTCATTTATTCGTGACATTCATCATCTCCATTTGTTTTGTTTATTTATTTATTAATGGAGTGGTTGTTGTGTACACGATGAAAAAGATGTTAAACCGATGATCAGATAGAGAAGGTCGAGACTGTTGAAGGAGGTAATCTCTAGATTTCTAATTGTAAAGAATTCAAACCGATGAGATGAGAGAATTAAGAAAGGTCGGAGCTGATTTCAGTAGTGATTTGGTAGTAATGCTATCGCTGCATCTTAGAAACCTAACATAGTTTGATTTATGGAACATTGGTCTGTATATCTCAAGGCTTTTTTGTTTTTCTCCATATTTTCCAAATATATATAAATGCACAATGTGATTCGGACAGGTCAAAGTCTTCCAATTTCTTAGTTACTGAAAACAGTATGTTATTAATAGAAAATAACTAAATAGTTTGTATGTTACATATTGTGGTGATCCTTGTTACAGAAACAAGAACTTCTGGTATTCTGATCAAACCGGTTGCTTTCATCGTTCAAATTAATCATATAATCGTCACGGCAACAATAACAATGGTTAAAAGATGAAAGCTAAAATCTCCTAATAACATTTTACCGATTCATCTTTCACCGAATAAATTTACACTAATGAGATGTTTAATATTATCGGTTTAGACAACTAGTTGGTTGAATTACACCAAGACTTTTCCCAGCAGCATTGAAACAGTAGGAAGTAGCAGGGGCTCCTTTGCTGTAAGTAAGCTTTATGTCTTGTAATGTGATTCTTGTGCATGGATTGCTCTTGCTGCACACCAGCTTCATCGCTTGCTGTGTCGCCGACGTTCCTTGTATGTTCTTATACGTCACTTGGCTAATCTTCACTCCGGAATGCTAATACATGAACATTAATCTTTAGTTTATTATTAAGATCACCAAGTCGATAAACATGCATATTGGATTTTTAGTCTGCTAATGAAACAAATGATATGGTCATATGGATATATATACCTCAGAAGGGCAACCTTGGTGAGAAGGACAATAGTTTTGGTCTATTATGATAGGGTTTTGGACGTTCTTCATGATTAGGTTTTGGAAGAAGACGTTTCTAACGAATCCGGTGCTAGGCCTCGCCCACGACTTTATCCTCACGCCGTTTTGTGTTCCCGTAAATACAGAACTCGATAGTGTCACGTTCTCTACTCCGTCTTCTTTCAAATCTTTCGCCAAGCTCCCAATACTGCAAGTCATCATCACATATAATCATACATTTATTATATATGGCCAATCTAATTGTATTGCTAATTTCGATTTGGATGTTCATCAGTTAATAGTACTATATAATTATATTCATACTTTTCCATATATATATCATTTTTAAGAAATAAAACGGTGTGTGTGAGTTAATACCTCACCCCGTGACCTGGGCCACAAGCAAGTTTGGTGATGAGGAAGTTGCGGGTACCAGGGCCGATAGCAACACAGTCGTCTCCAGTCTGAACGGTGCTTCCGGTGAATGTGACACCGGTGGAAAATTGAACGTGGAAACCGTCGGTGTTTGGGCTGTTTCCCGGAGCCACTAGTCTGACGTTACGGACGACCACATTGGTGCAACCATTGAGGGTCATATGGGTGACCTGGCTGTTCATGGATTTCACTCCACTAATGATCACGTCTTTTGCCGAGTTGAACGATATTGACTATAATAATATATGCATCAAAAAATTTATAAGTATATGAGTTAGTCAAATAGAATTTGATACATAATAATGAAAAGAAGGAATTATCATAATTCGTAGTGCCATAGACTAGTAAATTAAGATTACAACTATTATTACATTTCGAATAAATAATGAATAATTCACACCCTACATGTTAAAAAATTATTATTATGAATCTTTGATAAAATATTATATTATATAGTTTCTAATTATATTTCGATTAGTAAGTATGCATTTAAATTAAAACTATAGAGACAGAGGAGAGAAGCATACCCTAACACCGGGAGGGCAATTCTGACCAGAATTCCGGCAAGACCAGAAACCATTAGCTCGAGCGTCGAAGGTCCCGCCGACAAGTGACATTTTGCTGACCTTGTTGAAGAGAATCCAGTAACCAGAGTTGCCAAAGGCCCTGTAATCTGCCGGAGCAACGACGGTTCCGGACACTTGAAATGTGATTTTACTCTTGCATGGCCCTCCAAACGTTATTGCCTTCAACAGGAATGTTCCCTTCGGGACCACCACTGTGGCTGAAGCTGCCGAGACACAAGCCCCTTGCCATGCTTTGAGGAATGCTGCGGTGGAATCGGTGACCCCGTCCGGTTTGGCCCCGAAGCTAACTACGTTGAAAGCGTTGGAGGCACTGCTCGATACACTGATGAAGGTGATCAGAAGTGTGAAGAGAAGTGGAAAAGTTATAGTAGGTTTTGTCATTTTAAAAAAATATATGTGGGTTTGAGTTTGTGTTCGAATTGCTTTTGATGCATCAACCATGGGTATATATATATATATAGAGAGAGAGAGTTATTGGAGTCTATGGTACAATTACGTACATGTGCTATACTGCTATCTACATGATAAGAGTTTCTGAATATAACAATTCCAATCATTAGGTGCGTCACATGGTTGATATAGAACTTTTGGGAGCCACGGTCCTTGCATCAACGATATAACATTTTTGCATATTGTGTGGATTTAATTAGCCATCTACGTAAAACGTAAACCGCTTATTAATAAACGTAACGGCCGCCATCATACCGTTAGTTATGAATTGTGAAATAAGTTTTAAAATATAGTAGAAAGTAATAAATGTATGTGAATTGTATTATGAGGACATCACATAATATATATATATCACATGACATGCATGTGATTAACTAGCTGTTGACCCCCAAAAAAGACATGTGATTAACTATAAGCTCACACATTATTGAAACTGACTCAATGATTTCGTTAATCATTCTAAGCAGAATTACAAAAAAAAAAGTCAATATCTCCCGTTTTATATTTTTACGAGTTCACAAATTGGGTTTTCAACAAGTTCATTGAATGCTTAGAAGATTCGGATAATATATGTTTGAAGTAAAAAACTACAATAAAATAAAATAAATTTAGATCAGCAGCAAGTGAATAAATGGAAGTAATAAAAGAAAAGAAAATTCCAATCAATGGCATGTGAGTGGTGGAGACTGGAGAAAGAAGAGGCGGAGCAGTTGACGGAGAAAGAGACGCCGGAGCACTCGGATTATTTAAGCTATATAATGATCACAATGTTACATTGTAACAATTTTTCTAAGTATGACCAAAGATAATAATATATCATATAATACATTTTGCATAATGCTCTGTTTTTTACACGCCATCACGCACCTAAAGAGTATTGTTCTCTGGGTTGGCCTCAAATAGTAGTGTGAACTTCCAAGTCCCTACAATTAAAACGCAAAGATAAACAAACATGTGAGAAGCTTTTGTATGGTCAGAACTTCCAAGTATTGTAAACAATTGCAAACTGGACAGCAAACTGAAGTCAAGCAAGAAAGAACGTTAAGAAGAAGGCACCCTTGAATGTTAATTTCAGTTTCAACGAACATAGTATTATTAATGTTACCTCGAAGAGCACTAACAGAGATTTATAACTTTGAAATCTGGATAGGAAGCTGATGAAAATCGCCAAAATGGAGAAGTTGCACTAGCATCACTTCTCTTTCACCAAATGACAAATCACTAAGAATTAACGTGAACTGCAGAAATCCTCACACATAGGGAAACAAACAAGAACGTTTAGGGAGGAGTTCACAGATATTCTTGTCAAGATGAAGTTGCGTTGGCAGGGAAGAAAAATCCTCATGAAGCCTGCCGGTAGCTGCGCATAGACAGGGTCATCTGCTAACAGATTGATCAAACGCTTATACTCTTGTCTTTCATATGCGGAACCCCTTTAGCCTTTTTCAATCAAAAGAGCTCCTTAACGACATGATGCGTCTAACACCTGGAAAGAGGCATCTTGTTTCCTTCAAAACCACATTCAATCTCACTAAGATCAACTTCTGAGTTCTAACTTACCATCACCTAATTGGCTTCCCTTAGTTCCTCATCCACAAGGTAATTCTCTATTATTTCATCAATAGGATCTACAGTTGTATCTGGCCTCCTGCCCTTGTATCTTGTATCACTGAAAAAGTCGAGAATTTCTTTATTAGCAGCTAACCCTTCTCTTCTCATTTGGTCAAAAACTTCTCTCGCCTCCACAAATTTCTTTCTCTTGAATAATCCTTTAATGAGAGCGGTGTATGTGCTGACGGAGGCACTAAATCCCTTCTCGTTCATTTCTTGAAATAAAAACCATGCTTCCTTCATGTTCCTAGCCTTGCAATGCCCTTTGACTAAATTCTCATACGTCTTACCATCAGGCCCTACCTCCCGAGAAAACATGCCTCTATAAATTGCTGTCGCTGCCTTCAGGTTATTTCTAATGCAATATTGCTTCATGAGAGAATTATATGTGGTTGCATTAGGCGCTATACCTTTTTCCAACATCCAATTTAGAAGCTTCTCGCCATCTTCTAACATCCCATGCAAACAAAAGCCATTCATTAGGACGTTGAATGTGACAATAGTCGGTTGAAGCCCTTTACCGAGCATCTCCTTCAAAATCTCTTGAGCCTTATCCATCTCTCCAGCTTTACAGTAGGCATCCATTAAGGTTGTATAAGTTACAGTGTCTGCATTAAGTCCCGCAGCTTCAAATTCTCCAACAAGTTTAACTGCCTCCTCAATATCACCTGACTTACATAGACCATTGACAATGGAATTGTAAGTAAATATATTTGGCTGAAGACCTATTTTCCACATTTCATGGAGAAGCTCATTCGCTGAATCTAAGTCCCCTTCCTTACAAAGCCCATCAATTAATGTGGTGTATGTAACAACATTTGGGGAGCACCCAGCCTGAATCATGTGATTGTGGACACTAAAAGCATCTTTTATCTGCCCAGCTTTGCAGTATCCATTTATAAGTTCAGTAAAAGTAATGCTATCCGGTTCTAAGCCCCTGCAAAGCATTTCATGGAATAGTTTACCAGCCTCCACCATGTCGCTCATATGACAAAACCCTGATATAATAGCAGTATATGTCAAAACATCTGGTCTAATATCCAGAGAGTGCATCTCATAAAAAAACTTTGACGCAGCCCGAATATTCCCTTGCTTGCAGAAACCATTAATAAGAGTTGTGTACACTACTGTGTCAGGAAGTATGCCCTGCTCTATCATCTCACGAAAAGCCTCCTCTGCTTCGGCTAGCTTACAAAGCCTGCAGAGCAAATCAATTATGCTACCATAAGTATAAGAATTTGGCTTCAGCCCTTTGTGCTTCATTTCTTCAATGAGCTTCCAAACCTTGTCAAGTTCCCCAAATCTACAATATCCACTTATCACTGTGCTGTAACTGATTACATCAGGGGTGTAGCCCTTCAGCTCCATAAGCAGGAGTAGATGGTGGGCTTCATTTATCCTCCCGAGTTGACAAATACAATGAATAACAATGTTATAAGAAGAAACATTCCAACAAACACCCACTTCCGGAAATTCCCTGAATACTATGATTGCTGTTGCAGTATTACTGCAGTCTTTGGAAAGACGACCAAGGTATACATTGCAAGAATCAACAGAGAGAACCAATCCGTAATTCAACATCTTCTCAAAGACTTTTCTCGCTTCACGGAGCATTCCAAATTCAACTAGTACTTGGAAGAAAACATCAAATACTCGAGGATCCGAACCCCAGTCCTTGTAGGTGTATAATAGAAGATCAAAAAAATGTACAAAGGAATCAGTAACATTCAACTTTGGTCTCTCCCAAAAACTCCTAATGAGAGACTGAGCTACTTTTAGATCCCTTGATGCCACAGCCAAATGAATGACAATGCAAAGGGATTCAAGGTTGGAGTCTCTACGGGAACGAGCCCAATCAAAGAAATCAAGAACCAACTTGTAATCAGTCTTAATCTTCATCAGAACCCAAATCAAATGATCAGTCTTGAACTTGCATTCATAAGGCTTCAAACTCCGCCTCAGAGGCTCAGCCCGACGCAGCTTAATCACATTGGTGATTTGGTGTACCAATTCAGTGTCTCTTACTGAAGCTTTCTTTGGTGAATAATCAGGAAAAGGTCTTGTATCGGTTAAAGTCGAGAAACTGAGTCCACGAGGCCGAAGTGAAAAGAGCTGAATAAAATTTCTGAAGCCAGAAATAGTACCTCTATTCATCACAGGCCTATGAAAGGCTGCTTCATCGCTCCATAACAAACACCAAAAGCTCGCCGCGAACTAAGCAGTAGCTAGTCAAATCCTGAGGAGAACAATCATTCGCTCGATTCGAAAAAACCCTAAAATCGCTGCGCGGAAACTTGACCCCCCAAAGAGGGTGAATGGGTATTAAAGAGTGTTAGTGATACGAATTGCAACGAGAAATATCAGAACTTTGCCACTCCCACCCAGAAGAAAGATACGAACTTTTTTTCTCTCTCTCTCTCCAGTGAAATTTAGAAGGGCACGGTGTGCAATTGAAGACGATGATCGATTTTGGGAAACGGTCATTTTAATGAACAAAACGGCGCGTTTTGTAAACTAAACCTCTTAAAGCCCATTAAAAAGAGCAGTTAGGCCCATATGAACAACTTGTGTAATTTCCTAGCAAAACATGGGCTTTTGCTTCATTAAAAGATGCTCTTTGTATTAGCCCAAGTGATGGTGAACCTATTTGAATATTTCACATTAGGAAAAGTGAAAATAGTGCACATCAAATCAAGCCATTCTTATCACAACAACAACAAAAAATGAAATATAAATGTATCTGAACACAATCTTAATAAATGAATTTGTGATAGAAAACTTACTTAAATTCAATCAATCAACAAAACATAGAAACAAACTCATTGATGCTCTTATCAGATCTACCTCCTTCAGAAACAGCTTCTAGAGTCAACAATTTCCATTTTTCTGCATTCTTTCTAATTTCTTTCCCTTTCTCTCCCTCCATAACTTCTCCCACACGTTTTACAATCTCTTCACTTCTCACGAATCCATCAACGTCTGCTTTAACCCTAACTCCAACTTTCCACACATCCTCCATGAACTTACCATTTGTGGGTTGATCTGCCCAATGTGGCATACCAATCATTGGAACTCCCAAACTCAATCCCTCTAACATCGAGTTCCATCCGCAATGTGTTAAGAAACAACCGATTGATTCATGTCTAAGAACTTCAAGCTGAGGACTCCAGCTTACAATCAGTCCTTACTCAATGATCTCCTCCACATACTTTCTAGGAAGTTTGTTTTTCTCTGTGTCTCTCACAACCCACAAAAAGAAATATCCGCTCTGTTTCAGACCCGCCGCGAGTTCCATCATTTGATCTTCTTTTAGAATCACCAAGCTTCCAAGTGATACATAAACAACTGAACTAGGCTGCTTCGAGTCTAGCCACTCGATGCATTTAGCTACATTTGCATCAAAGAGGCTGAATCCGTAGTTTTTGTCTTCAGTCAGTCGCTTGTCTAAGTACATTGATGGAACAGTTGGTCCTATGTTTAAAACTGGCCACAAGCTTTGGACCCATTTCAACAACTGAAAGCAAAGAGAAAGAAAATATATTAGCTATAATCACATATGTAAATAGGGTTAGAATAAAAGTCTAAGAACAAAATTATGCCAATTAGTATCAAATTATTTTAACTTGTAGTTAAATTTACGATCAAAGCATCTCGTTTATGCAATTTTAAGTATTAAGCTAAAATGTAATACCATATGAAGTTCGATAGATAAATTTGTTTCAAAATAGTAATCTAAATGGGAAAAAATGTTTTAAAAGAAGACATATGGATATATATTTGGTACCTTTTCTTCCAATTTATCGAAAGTGTTGCACAAAACTATATCAACTCGATCAATGTTTGAGAGCTGATCGATGACAATCCTCAGTATATTTGGGTAAGAGGACGATTCACGGAGGAAAGACGGCAAATCATATGAATTCAGCATCGGGAACGAAGGGAAAGATGCTAACGCAGAGTGGTCATGTCTTGTAGACGGTACAGAGAACGATCCCTTATTAACGTGATAGTAAATAGTTGAGACAAGCCAAGGCTGAGTGAAAAACACGGCACCCCTCAAACCAGAACTATGAGCTACATCAAGAAGCCATGGCATGGTGGAGTCGTACACGAGGGCCCTAGGAGGATTTCCCGACAGTTTCATGTCTTCAATCAACTTCGGTAAGCGGGTTTTGATGCTGGTTTCTACTCTTTCCATGTAATCATCGAGGTCTTGTGATTGTTCCTCGTCTTCTTGGAAACCATTGGAGATGGGGACGACAGTGATTAAGTCGTGCTCTGTTCTGTATGGCGGAGAAGGTTTGTCGGAGACGAGGATAAGAGTGATCTTAAGACCTTTTGAGACTAAGCGTTTGCAAAACTGGGACATAGGAGTTATGTGGCCTTGTGCTGGGAAAGGCAAGACGATAACATGAGATCCTTCTCTCATTTTTTATTTATTTTTTTGTCTTTATTTCTTACCAAATATAGTTTGAAGTGAGTGTATATATATGATTGGATTAGAGGAAGACTTTGATTTTACTACGTCTCACTGGTGGGGAAATTTCCTGTGTACATTCCAAAAAAAGGTCAAAACGATTTCGTGGCGACCAAGATGTGTGGAACAGAGGTCGTTGATTTAATGACCTTTGTTTGATTGGACTTAAGGTCGTCACATTCAAGCAGAAGTAGACTTTTCAAATCATGCATAAGTTATTTGGCAGCTGCCTAGAGTTAACGAAGCATGGATCGGATATCCAAAGTTTTTATAATATCCGTGGTCCATTTTATTTGGATCAAATTTTTTTTTATTTTTTTTCATTTTAATATGTAAAATTTGGTTATTTTTATATCATTTATAATTTTTTTTTATAAAATCTTCATGCTAAATCTACATCATGATGCAAAACAAATTGGATTTATGGAATTTATCTAAGGATATGAACCAAATGACTGGATCCAAAGTACGGTTAGTTTTCATATCGATTTGTAAATTTAGTATTAAGAAAGAAAAAAAACTTAAATTGAAATCTGTATTTTAAAAAATGGTGAAATCTTTGAAAACCAGACTTAGCATTGTGAGTTGAAATCTTAAAAACAGAGGATAACTTAAGGTACATATAGTAAAAGATTTGCTTACGGTTGTTGGAGATAGCAAGTCAGAATCATTATCATTCAATGAAGACAGGTTGTTGGAGATAGCAAGTCAGAATCATTATCATTCAATGAAGACACCACACCAGTCAGTGACTTGGGAGGTCTTGTAATCGCTGGTGCGAAAACATGATATTCCACTTTTTACATAATATGACCGTTAGGCTTTTCAAGAAAAGGAAAATTTTTATTTTAAAAAGTTCTTAATTCTACATAATTGAACGCAAAAAAAAAGGAAATCTTCTAAATTTATCATTTAATTAGAAAAAGGAAACCACAAACTCTTATTAATAACAATAATATTTTAAAATAAAATAAAACATGATTTTTGCAATGTATCCAATCCAATTTGTGAAGATCCTAACGTTCGAATTTGTCACCAATTGGCTCATCAGTCTTTTGACTTCTGAAAACTGAAACTCTTTTCCTCAATTCTTTTGACTAGATGGAGATAGACGAGCTGATGTGAGCATGCCTGCTGGTATGAAATTTTCATTAGAAAGTTCCTTTTCCTTTGGCATACGGAACTTGGAATAGGGAGTTGTAAATTACTTACACATTTCAATCGTTCACCAAAACATAGAAACAAACTCATTTATGCTCTTATCAGAGCTACCTCCTTCAGAAACAGCTTCTCGAGCCAACACTTTCCATTTCTCAGCATTCTTTCTCATCTCTTTCCCTTTCTCTCCTTCCATTACTTCTCCCACACGTTTCACAATCTCTTCTCTTCTCACTAACCCATCGTCTTCTGCTTTAACCCTAACCCCAACCTTCCACACATCCTCCATGAACTTTGTATTTGTTGGCTGATCTGTCCAATGTGGCATACCAATCATTGGAACTCCCAAACTCAATCCCTCTGACATCGAGTTCCATCCACAGTGTGTCAAGAAACAGCCGATCGATTTGTGTGCAAGTACTTCAAGCTGAGGGCTCCAGCTCACTATCAGTCCTTTCTCACCGATTTCTTCTACAAAGTTTCTTGGGATTTTGTCTGTTTCTGTCTCTCTCACAACCCACAAAAAGAAACGTTCCGTCTGTTTTAGACCCGCCGCGAGTTCCATCATTTGATCTTCTTTTAGAACCACCAAACTTCCGAATGATACATAGACAACAGAATTAGGCTGCTTTGAGTTTAGCCACTCGATGCATTCCGTGAATTTTGCATTGAAGAGGCTAAATCCGTAGTTTTTGTCTTCGGACAGACGTTTGTCTAAAAACATCGATGGAACCATTGGTCCAATATTCAAGACTGGCCACAAGCTTTGGACCCATTTCAACACCTACGACCAAAAAAAAATGATACAAAAAGAAAGAGATCAAACTAAACATACTCACAGAGATAAATAAGCGATGTACAGTACAGTAAAAATATATATATTTTGGATATTTTCCCCATATATACATAATAGATATAGTCTTTGTACCTTTTCCTCCAATTTATCGAAAGTGTTGCACAAAACTATATCAACTCGATCAATGTTTGAGAGCTGATCGACCACAATCCTTAGTATATTGGGGTAAGAGGACGATTCACAGAGGAAAGACGGCAAATCATTCGAATTAAGCATCGGGAACGACGGGAAAGATGCTAACGTAGAGTGACCGTACTTTGTTGGCGGCACAGAGTAGGAACCCTTGAAAACATGGTAGTAAATAGCTGTTACAAGCCAAGGCTGCGTGAAAAACACGGCACCCCTCAAACCATAACTATGAGCTACATCAAGAAGCCATGGCATGGTGGAGTCGTACACTAGAGCCTTAGGACGATTTCCCGACAGTTTCATGTCTTCAATCAACTTCGGTAAGCTGTTTTTGATGCTGGTTTCTACTCTTTCCATGTAATCATCGAGGTCTTGCAAAGGCTCTTCGCCTTCTTGAAAGCCATTGGGGATGGGGAAGACAGTGACTGAGTCGTGCTCTGTTTTGTATGGAGGCGTGGGTTTGTCGGAGACGAGGAAAAGAGTGGGCTTAAGACCTTTTGAGGCTAAGCGTTTGCAGAACTGAGACATGGGAGTTATGTGGCCTTGTCCTGGGAAAGGCAGAACGATAACATGAGATCCTTCTTCTCTCATTATTTATCTTTTGTTCTTACTGACTCTCTAGTTTTTGATGTATGGCTGTTGTAGATGTGTGTGTATATATATTAATCGGATAAGAGAACGACTTTGATTTGGCCACGTCTTTGGTGGGGTGGGGACTACGACCCAAAAGGGTCGTGGTTTCGTGGCGACCAAGATGTGTGGAACAGAGACCGAGGTCGATGATAGTGCAAGTCTCTAGTCCCACTGTTTATAGTTTTTAGTATATCGTTAGCATGTGACTTCAGACAGGTGACATATCTTATTATTTAACTCGCAACATATATGTATGTACTTGTTCATCAAGAAATAACAAAACATATATTAGATTCTTTTTGTCATCTTCCATGAGAGAGGACATGACTGCATTTCATATTTGTATTGCTGTTGATGTCATTGCTTATGCTGTCTGGATCCAAATTTGCAAAGCTTTGTATTATAAAAGTTTAACCGATAGTTGCTTGTATCTTTTTGTTATGGTATTCTAATTGTGAATTACATATTGCTTGCTAAGATTTTTACTCTTTTTGTTTTCTCAATATTGATTCAAAATATTATTGATATGAAAAAAGAAGATTAGGCTTTACTTTACACATGCATGGCTATAATATGTGTCGTCGCAATTTTTTTATATCGTATGTGTTAATTCGTTGCCAAAATTTTTTTGATATAAAGGAAAGACTAAAGGTTCCGGTTTCGACAATTCAGGCCCCTAGAAACCTAATCTGTCCACGTGTTGTCCTCGTATTGGCCACTTGCAATTCTCCGATGTTCACATTTATGCAAGAGAAAAAAAAAATATCAAAAGTTTGCCGTCCGACATTATTTTTACGTTAAATTTCATTGGAAACCCGTGATAAAATTGGTTAAATCATAAATCAATACAATAATAAAATATATATATACGTTTTAGAATTATACTTTATATGTATATGAAACTAGTGAACTTTTTTTTTTGTAGAAAAACTGTTTTTTGTTTTTTTGACATCAATACAAATTATAAATCTCTCTTTGAGAGGGACCGGGCTCGAAACCGGATCTGTTGAGAAGGCAAAACAGAGGTGAGAACCACTAGTCCACTTGCTCTTTCTCAGTAGTAGAAAAACTGTTGAAGTGATAATTTCTTTAAAGATTGTTATTCAGAAAAATTGTCAGCTCGTTGTGCTGCAAATATAGTCGCTACAGTAACTCAAGTTACGGTCTGATACCCATAAATATGTTCTATTTTAAGTCGAATGAAAAGCTCTTTTTACTGACTATAAAATTGGGTAATTTATTTGTTCAGTTTACGAGTATTATAAGTTCTTAACCTATATACATCACCAAGTAAATTAATAAAGGAGATGACTCGACCCTTCTTTAGTTAGTTATTATTTGTATCATATTATGTGGTCGGTCTTATTCTCTTCACCGGCGGCTACTCGGTAAGATAATGTAAAAATTAACCGGCAGTGTGAGACATATCTAATATGGTGACAAAGGATTCACTAACTTTACTCTTTAGTGCAATTCAAGATCAGCCATATACTGTATGTGTGTGTATATATATATAATCTCCCTAAAAAAAAAATAACATTCGTGGCCTTCATTTTTCCACTCTTCTTATACAATAATTATTTTTCTTAACTCATTTGTCTTTTATATTCAAAAAAACAATTGTTCATTAGCCCCACTTGAAACGACGACGTTTGGTTCAACGTTTTAGTATGCAAATTTGCTTTCTACTTTTCGTGACCTTTTGATTTCTCTGTATTGTGTTGTGTGATTTACGACGAAACCACTTGGCACCAAAGGTTCGTTTTTTGTTTTTGTTTTTTACGATTTTTCTTCTTCTTCTTCTTCTTCTTCTTTTAGCGTTGAGTTCGTGATTCCAAGATGAATGGTTGTGACTCTTAACTAATCAGTATCATGAAAAAGAGATGATTCTTCCGAGAATTGGGCAGAATCTCGGATTCTGAGTTTCTGGGTAAGAATGTGAATGATTCATAAGCAAGATGTGTTCAAACAATAATCAAGTCTGTTCCTTTCTTCTTTTTGTTCTCTTGCTTAATAATTCTGCTGCTCTTCGTTTTTTTTTTTTGGCGTCGTTCCAGTTTCTGGATTTGGTTTCTTTCTTTCAATGACTGTGAATTTTCCGCATCATTCATGTTTTGATCTGATTTAGTTTGTCGCCTGGACTTTTTTTGTTCTTTGTTCTTTCAATTCTTGGTCTTGATCATCTCTGTATCTGCCTCTGTATTCTCATTTAGGTTCTTAAATACAAATACTCAGTCTTGGAATCAAATTTGGGTTTTGGTTTATGCCTGATCAGGTCCATGTTTGTTTGATATCTTTGATTCCAAAGTTGCTAACTTTTTGTTCGATTATTTGCTTAAGTTAACTAGGGAACTTGAGTCTTGATTAGAGGAAATTTGAAGAGAAATCTGAGATTGACTCTTAACTCTGAGATTGTTTCTTGCATTTTAATTTCAACAGATTGTAGAACCGGTAACCTATTGTCAGTTGGCGGGTTTGATTTGATGGCTTCTTCAGATGATACATTCTCGCGAGTGTTCAATTTTGGAGTAGAAAAGTCTTTATATGCTCCTGATGATGATGATGTCTTCACTCTGCTTCATCCTACGTCACCACCAATGATGTCTAGTACCAAGAACATTCCAAAACCTCCTCCTCTTCCTCGTATTTCCTACCAGCGTTTTCAAGCTTCCAGAAGGGCATCTTCGAGCTTATCACGCCTTGTGCCAAATGAAGCTGTAGAAACTTGGGATAAGCTTTTCAAGGAAGGATTTGGAGCAGATATATTTGTTGAAACCGATGACAACTCTCAGTTTCCAGCTCATTCAAGTGTCTTGGTGAGTTCTTGTTAAGAAATTTATCTGTTTTACCTCATGGGAATATGCTAACGTAATGGGTCATTGTCCTCCTTTTTTGGGCTTGCTGACAAGGTTTTGTCTTCTGCAGACTGCAGCTTCACCCGTTATGGCGAAACTTCTGAATCAGTCGAGAGATAAAAATGGAAAAGCATACCTCAAAATCCTCGGAGTGCCTTATGAAGCAGTCTACATGTTCATTCGGTTTCTATACTCTTCCTGGTATGTTCTAAATGTTCAAATGGATTTTGCTTTCGTAATGCTAGTTTCTCCTTTGAAGCATGCCTAAATATTAAAACCTGCAGCTACGAGGAGGAAGAAACGAAGAAGTTTGTGCTTCACTTATTGGTTTTGTCACACTGCTACTCGATACCATCTCTTAAAAGAGTTTGTATAGAGGTTCTCGACAAAGGATGGATTAACACGGAGAATGTGATCGATGTGCTTCAATTGGCAAGAAACTGCGACGCTACTAGGATTTGCTTTGTATGTTTCTCAATGGTCATCAAAGACTTCAAGTCTGTATCTTCGACAGAAGGATGGAAAGTGATGAAACGAGCTAATCCTCTGCTCGAACAAGAGCTCGTTGAGGCAGTCATCGAAGCAGACACTCGGAAACAAGAAAGAAACAGAAAACTCGAGCACAGAAAAATGTATCTGCAGCTTTATGAAGCCATGGAAGCTCTTGTCCACATATGTAGTGAAGGTTGTAGGACAATTGGACCTCGTGATAAGGCCCTTAAAGGAAGCCAAACCGTGTGTAAGTTCCCGGCATGTAAAGGGCTTGAAGGTGCACTCAGGCATTTCTTGGGATGCAAGTCTAGGGCTTCATGTCCTCACTGCAAAAGGATGTGGCAGCTTCTTCAGCTTCACTCTTGCATCTGTGGTGATTCTGATTCTTGCAAAGTCCCTCTCTGCTGGTACAGATTGTAATCCTCAGTTTCATTTCACATTTCAGACAACTAGAATCTTCAGATACAGATTGTAATCATTTTTATCTAACTTCTAGGAATTTCAAGGTGAAAGTGAAGAAGCTTAGCAAGAAAGAAGAATCTACATGGCGATTGCTTGCAGAGAACATTATTACGGCGAAGAATAGTCTCGGGCCGTTCTCTTCACGTCCTTCTGTTTTGATATAAGTCGGTGTTTAGTGTATAGCCAGCCACAAAAAGAAAGGTCTACCGTATGCAAAGTGTAAAGTGTATCTTGCATACGGCGCACACAATAGTTGTCTTGAACAGACATTGTCTATATCATGTTTGTTATATACAACATACATGCCGAATCGTGATCCGTGACAGTAATTGTCAACTGTCAAGAAGTTTTTGCATCATCATTGTACATATATTATTTTAGATATTCAAATCTATAATATTGGTCGTAAACGACTTTATTTAGAGACAGACAAAAATATATATTGAAAAGATGTACATTAATGTTATTCTTATTTCAAGTTGAGTTATCTCGTGAAAAAATATACATTATTTCCGAGTTAATGAAAACTCAACCTTCTCACAAGTCACAGCTAAATGAGTATTTATTCGATTTTGTAAGGATGATAATTTGATATATACGGCGGGTCTCTCGTTGACTTCTGGTGGTGATTTGACTTTGCAATTTGCATATTCACCAAGAGCAAGTAGCTCTAATACAAATCACTTTGACTTTCAATTTGTTTAAGTTTGGTCTTAAGACTTTATCTCCAATGATTTTTTTATTTTCTGTCTTTAAATGAAAACTTGAAACTTCATCAACATCAAAAATCACAAACCCATCTCTAGTTGTCTATTCGTTTTCCTTGTTTTTCAAGAAACGAGAGGAAAATGGAAAATTTTCGTTTTCTCTGTTCGATCTATTCAGCAACGTTTGCATTGTGTCTCATCGTTTCTGTTTATGCACAAGACCAATCAGGTTTTTTTTTTTTATATATCTTTTAAGACTATTTATTTTCTTGTGTTAAAAATATGATCCTTTAATTTTCATTGGTTGCATGAACATAGGTTTCATAAGCATCGATTGTGGAATCGCAAGTGGATCATCGTACAAAGACGACGCGACGGGTATAAACTACGTCTCAGATTCATCCTTTGTTGAAACCGGAGTCTCCAAATCGATCCCCTTCACAGCTCAAAGACAGCTTCAAACCCTAAGGAGCTTTCCTGAAGGTTCTAGACACTGCTACACACTGATTCCAAATCAGGGAAAGGGCAAGAAATATCTCATAAGAGCTAGTTTCATGTACGGTAACTACGATGGAGAAAATGGTTCACCCGAGTTTGATCTGTTTCTTGGTGGAAATATCTGGGATACTGTCTTGCTCAACAATGGATCGGTCGTTGTTTCCAAAGAAGTCGTTTACTTGAGCCAATCTGAGAAAATATATGTTTGTTTGGGAAACAAAGGCAAAGGAACTCCATTTATCTCGACTTTAGAGCTTAGGTTTCTTGGAAACGACAACACGACGTATGATTCTCCAAACGGTGCTCTCTTCTTCTCCAGGCGCTGGGACTTTGGCTCCCTCATGGATTCACCTGTCAGGTAATGCTCTGTTTTATACTCTGTTTTGTGATTTGCTTCATGCTTTGTTAAATGCTCTGTTTCTGATTGGACTAAAACTTTGACATGTGAAGACTATTTTTATTTTGTATGAATCAGATATGATGATGATGTGTACGATAGAATCTGGATACCTCGCAACTTTGGCTATTGTAGAGAGATCAACACCTCACTTCCCGTGATCTCAGACAACAATAGTTACAACCTTTCGAGTTTGGTGATGAGTACAGCCATGACTCCAACAAACACAACAAGACCCATCACAATGACTTTGGAAAACAGCGATCCAAATGTCAGGTACTTTGTTTACATGCACTTCGCCGAGGTCGAAGATCTTAGTCTCAAACCAAACCAGACCAGAGAGTTCGACATCAGTGTTAACGGAGTGACGGTTGCTGCTGCCTTCAGCCCCAAGTATCTTCAAACTAACACTTTTTTTCTAAACCCTGAGAGCCAAACGGAGATAGGGTTTTCTCTCGTAAGAACTCCCAAGTCTACTCTTCCGCCAATCGTTAACGCTCTAGAGATCTATATCGCTAACAGTTTCTCGCAGTCTCTCACTAACCAAGAGGACGGTATGTGCTAGTAAAATAACTCGTAAAGTTCAAACTTTTTTCCTCAGTTTGATCAATGCATTCAATTGAAACTTACAGGTGAAGCGGTTACGAGTCTAAAGACGAGTTATAAAGTAAAGAAAAACTGGCAAGGAGATCCTTGTTTACCTAATGACTACATTTGGGAGGGTCTCAATTGTAGTTATGATAGTCTTACTCCTCCCAGGATCACATCACTGTAAGTGTAGTTTAATTTTCATATCTTCTTGATCAATCCGTCGATTTTGTATGTTGACTAGAAAATTTTTGTTTATTGGAGGCAGGAACTTATCATCGAGCGGGCTAACTGGTCACATATCTCCATCCTTCTCTGACCTCACAATGATTCAGGAGCTGTGAGTTTATCTAATTCAAGATGATCATACATTCATACCTATAATTTTGTACTTTGAAAAGAGTTTTTTCTTTTTCTTTTTCTTTTAAACTTGAACAAGGCAATTCTATTATCAGGGACTTATCAAACAACGGCTTAAACGGAAACATTCCAGAGTTTCTGTCAAAACTGAAGTTCTTGAGGGTTTTGTAAGTTATAGAGATATACATATCTATACAACGACAACTAATTAGAATGTTGACTACGGATTCTAACTCTTAATAAAATCTGCAGAAATCTAGAGAAGAACAAGCTAACTGGTTCAGTCCCATCCGAATTAATAGAGAGATCAAAGAGTGGATCATTATCGCTACATGTTGGAGAGAATCCAGAACTCTGTACTGAGATTTCTTGCGGAAAAAGCAACAGTAAAAAAGTCGTGATCCCGCTGGTCGCATCATTTGCAGCATTGTTCATTCTCTTGTTATTGTCTGGTGTATTTTGGAGAATCAAGAACCGGAGAAACAAGTCCGGTAAAAAGTCTATCTCTACGTCAATTTCTTTACCTATCTACTGTTTGTTTACCAAATGCTAAAACTTTATGTTGTAAAGTAAACTCTGCGGTGGAAGGAAATGTAGACAAGGGAGCAAGAGACAATCAAATTGCGAAACCGGAGAACAAATTATTGTTTACCTTTGCAGACGTTGTAAAGATGACAAACAACTTCGGTCGTGTCCTCGGCAAAGGAGGTTTTGGGACAGTCTACCATGGCTACTATAACAACCTTCAGGTCGCTGTTAAAATTTTATCAGAAACTTCAGCTCAAGGGTTCAAAGAGTTCCGCTCAGAGGTAATGTAGTAGCATTCTAGGTATAATTGATTCCAAAAAAGATATGCAAATTATTACTTTCTCCAAGATTATAACTCAATAAACATTCGTATAGGTCGAAGTTCTTGTGAGAGTTCATCACGTACACCTCACCGCGCTGATTGGTTATTTTCATGAAGCTGACCAAATGGGATTGATCTATGAATTCATGGCTAACGGGAACATGGCAGATCATCTCGCGGGAAAGTATGAGCGTACATTGAGCTGGACTCAACGGCTTCAGATTGCTCTTGATGCAGCACAAGGTATGACGAAAGTTTTGATCTTTTATACATTAAGTCGTTTTCATTTTGTAACGAAAAGCTCTACCTTGAAGGGCTTGAGTATCTTCACTGTGGATGCAAACCTGCGATAGTTCACAGAGATGTGAAAACTTCGAACATACTGTTGAACGATAAGAACAGAGCAAAGCTTGCAGATTTTGGACTCTCACGGAGTTTTCATACAGAGAGTCGTTCTCACGTATCCACTCTAGTCGCTGGCACTCCCGGCTATCTCGACCCGCTGTTAGTTTTCTCTCTTATATCTGTCACGTTTATATTTACCAAACAACAATGTTTTAGTAACTGTGTGTCCTAAACAACGTGTAGATGCTTCGAGACAAATGGGTTAAATGAGAAGAGTGACATATACAGCTTTGGAGTGGTACTGTTAGAGATGATAACGGGAAAAACAGCGATCAGTGAGTCGCAAACGAAGCGTGTGCATGTGAGTGATTGGGTGATATCGATATTAAGGTCAACGAATGATGTGAACAATGTAATAGACTCGAAGATGGCAAAAGATTATGATGCAAACTCGGTATGGAAAGTGGTGGAGCTAGCTTTGGGGTCTGTTTCGCAGAACGTATCAGAGAGGCCACACATGCAACATATTGTTATAGGATTGAAAGAGTGCCTTCAAAGAGAAGAGAATCACAAGAAGTATTGATGTCACAACAAAAGGGTTTTGGATGGGTATATGTTTTTAAGTTTGTGTTGCTATATATGTAAAGCCCAAATTTATTATTGCAAAGAGTAAAACCGGATTTGTTTGTGCAAGGTCGGAAACAAAAACAATAGAACTAGTAGTACGTGTAGGGAGTAGCTACCTAATCCGGTCGCAACAAGAGAGTGACAACAAAGACAAATGACCAAAACCGCGTAGGCCCTTAAAAAGAAAAGAAACGTACCTTTTTAAAGAAAACGCTTTTTATTCCGCTTTGGACTTTTGCGTCCCACCGTCCCCACAAATCTCTATTTTCTTTTCTTTTTTTCTTTACTCACGCGACCGCTTCCTCTGCGTTTTTTTAAAAAAGCGTTTCTAAGTAAACCGGCTCCACGTGAGTGATTCATTCTTCAACGAGTTTGGTGTTCGTGCGTTACACTCGCGCTTCTCCTGAGCGTATGAGTCTCTCTATCTCTCTCTCTCTCTGTACGATGACGTCAGACCAAAATTTAGTTTTGTCTTACTTGTCTTTCAGTTAATTATTTCAAATTAATGCTCCTTTTAGAAATTTAATAATCAAATCTTAACTGTAATTTCTACATCTCTTCATTAACTACTCATGATTAACCAACGGATAGTATAACATTAACGAAACTAAACCATATGTGTGTTACTAAAATAGTGGTGCAAGTGAGGGAGAATATAGTGTAATCTATTTTGAATATAGGGAGAATATTTTGAAATATAGATTGAAAATTGTGGTTTTGATTTGAAAAGAGAAGAGAACAAATAAAATTCAAAAGCAAACAAAAGTGAAAAGATTGATGGTGGTGCCAGAAAGAGAGAGAGAGAGAGAGAGAGTTGGTCAAATATGTTGACAAACTTAATAACCTTTCCAAATGTCACCATCATCATCATCATCATATAAACAAGTGAAATAAATACTACAGTAGTTTCTTGCTTTCTATCTCCTAATAATAATAAATTAATAATTATATATAAATAGTAAAGAGCAAATGTTTGGAAATATAATAAATAAAGAAAGAGCAACTTCTTTCTTCTACCTGGGAAGATTTCTCTAATAAATAAGAACTAGGAAGACCTCTCTTCCTCTCTTCCATGGGTTGTAATGAATAATCATAGCTGTCAAATTAAATGCAATTAGTCTCTCTAAACACTAACCTTTATAAATGAGTCTTTACTCTTTAGCTATATCTTTTTACCATAAAAGGTTTGTTAAATAGGAGGAGTAGATTGGTGTGGTGTGGGTATCGTAACTACGTCACTAACTTGTGAATATATAAATCAGTTTACACTTACACTCCCTCGGACATAGTATCGATAAAAAGTAGAGTCGATAGAACCTTTTAAGACAAAGCAGTTTCTATTTTGCTTTCGTTTGGAGAACATACCGAAACACACACACACAGATTCTTCTCTATCTCTCCTTTTCTCACGCCGAGCTTTCTGCTACTTCTCGAATCTGATGACCTTTTAGAAGAAACGACGCCATTTTCTCACCAAGCCTGACCTCTTCATGGACGCCGTTTAAGCTCAATGGACTACTTACTAAGCTGCTGATGTCTACAGTAAATCCGGGTTTGGACCTTTTCCTTTTGGACTGAGAACACTCAATAGAGAGAGAGAGAGAGAGAAACGTTTCTGTATCTTATCGGGTTTTGTGTTGTCAGCAGAAGAAGGCTCTACGACAAAAAAAATCAAAGGCAATTATTTTTAGGGTTCAAACGAAGAAAAATTTGTAGCTTTCGAGAACTTACTGTGTGTGGTGGCTTTTCTAAGACCGAAGCTTTTTTTCTTCTTCTCTCTCCCAATTTGTGAGTCTATCTCTCTCCGTAAGCTCTTTACTTTATTTGCTCTGTTTCTTTCTTCTTTTACTCTGTTTCTTTACTCAATTTTTTTGTCTTGATTTATACATTCTTTAGTAGTTGCTTAAAATCTAAGTTTTCAGCTTTTGATTTCCTTTATGCAACTCCCGTGACCAAAATTTTTACCATCTTTGATTATGTTACCAGATTCTTTCTACTCATAGTTTTTGTACAAGTTGAACTCTTCTTGTTTACATTAACTTTTATATAGTTCTCCGAGAGTGACTTTTTTGTTCTCCTTCTGATCCGTGGAGGGTTCTGTGTTCTGTTTTTGGGGTTTTCTTCTCCTGTTTTTAGGGACTCTTAAGTGATTCATGCATATATTGTGTTATTGTCTGTTTATGAGTATTTCCTTGGATATCATTTCAGCTAGGTAATGATATCATATTTTTAATCTTTTGTTTGAGCTTATAATTGTGCTTACAAGCTGATGTGAACTTGATCACAAACACTTGCCTACTTAGTTGACCTTACCTTTGTCTTGGCTTAATATTTATAATCCTAATGTATTGGTTGGTCCGAAACAAGATCCTCGTTCATTAATTAACCTTGTAACCTTTCTGGTCTGTATTTTACATTAGGATGGTAAACTTGTACCTCATGTGAAATATCTTGTTAGTACATCTTGTGTTTGATGACTTTACGCATTTCTTATTGACAAAGGTATGGAATTCTCTAGAGACGCCGGAATGATGATGGAGAACAAGCGTAATGTCTGCTCTCTCGGAGAAAGCAGCATCAAGCGGCACAAGTCTGATCTCTCTTTCAATTCCAAGGTCTTGCTTTACCTAGTTTTCTTGGATTTATCACTAGTTGGTCTGAAATAATGCGGTGTTAGCTTACCCGCGTGGTAATGATCCTTCCATCTCTGTTCTCTTAATGGTGAAACAGGAGAGGAAGGACAAAGTTGGAGAACGTATTTCAGCTCTTCAACAGATTGTTTCTCCTTATGGAAAGGTTACTTTTTTTTTTATGGTTAAGCAAATCAAGAGAACTCATCTCTTGGCAGCTCATGCTTTTCTTTAATCTTCTTATACCACAGACTGACACTGCATCAGTTCTTCTAGACGCGATGCATTACATAGAGTTTCTTCACGAACAAGTGAAGGTCTGCAAGTTTCTCTTCATCAGCATTCAATACAGAGCATGATGTATTCATCTTTTTATTGAATAAACGTCTGAGTTTTCATGCTCTTCTGTATAGGTTCTAAGTGCTCCGTATCTGCAAACGATACCTGATGCTACGCAGGTGAGCATGAATCTTGAATCTTAACCCTGTTTATACTGAGTTCACTATTTATATCCTGCATCTGACAGATCTGCTGCATTTGGAACTTGAATATCTTGCACAGACTGATTTTCCTGTCTTCTATAACCAGGAGGAGCTGGAGCAGTACAACCTGAGAAACAGAGGATTATGTCTTGTTCCAATGGAGAATACAGTAGGAGTTGCTCAAAGCAACGGAGCTGATATTTGGGCGCCCGTGAAGACTCCTCTATCTCCAACTTTCAGCGTCACATCCCAATCAACCTTTAAATGACCAATTCGGCTCTTTGCCTACTAAAATCTTTGTGTTAAGCCTAAAGAAGATGATCAATTGTTATTGTTCTGATGAAGCCTCTGTAACATAGACAGAGAGACGCATGAAGTTGGTTTACAACAGCTTATGGTGTGGCGATGGCTGTTATTATCTGACTGCTTAATGCATCCCCTTACTTGGACTTATGTAATATGATTGCCCAAACAGAAACTATATTATTCTAATGAAGTAAATCTACCTTCTGTGAAAAATTGCTTAAGATATCTAAGTTCTATCGCTCTGACCAAAACTATATTCTATACATGTTTCTAGTTCTAAAGATCCAAGGAAAGGTTTCTTTCAGTGATGATGGAAAGAGCGTTCTTCTCCGTTCTAATACAAAGCACCTTGAAGTTGAGAAAACATACCACAACAATAGCAATGAATTTTGCTTGTAACTGTATCAAAAAGCTAAGCACAAAATTGAGATTACCGTTTCACAAGAACCTTGAATTAAATACATTACCACTGAGATTGCAAAGGTTCACAACATACAGTACTCATAGCAAAGCTTAGAGAGAGATAAGATAAGTCGGTCATAATGTGTTTTTAACTACTAGATCACAATGCCTTGGCATATGTAAGTGTGATAGGGAAGATCATCTTCTTCAGCTCTACAAGGACAAGACTAACTTGCAGCAGTAGGCTTGACCTTCTCCCTCATATACTGGAGTAGATGTTCGCGTTTCCAATTGTCGATTCTGCAAAACAAGAAAGAAGAGGATGAGGTGTTAAACACATTCACTAGATTTAAATTATTCCTGCTCCTTAAAAATAATAGAATTATCATCCAAAACCAACTTTTATAAGAAGTTTCAGTAATCATATCAAAGCACCGAGAGAGTGAGATTAGAATTGCTGAAGATTACATCTACACATTAACCTACTATGCTAACATGGATATATCAGGTCCTCTTGAAAGTCCTAAACCAGGTCAACACGAGCTCAACCCAAACAATAGGGTCAATTTAAGAATAGTCCAGAGTAATGTGTTGAGCAAAGAGGGGTAAAGCAAATTACCTTATTGTTTCCTTATGTTCACCATCTTCATCCAGCATGATCAACTTAGGTGGGGAGTTGAAAATGTACTGAACTTTAACACTAGGGAACTTCTCTTTCTCTTCTTCAATAAAACCAACAATTTCAGGATAGAAAACCAACTTTCTCATACACACCTCTAATATAGCCCCGGAATAAGTAACCTGCAGTCGCAAAAGAATCGCCAACGAGTAGCCATCACTACGAGGATGTTTCTGTCTCTATCTAATTAAAATTTATTCAGCTCTTAAAAAGCATTGCAAATTCTATGGCTAGTAAAATCATACCTTGCTCATGGAATCCTCAGAATCATCAGCACAACATTTCAAGCAATCAGATACCAACTCTGCAATTCAATCATCAGATTGGAAATTTCAAATTCAGTAATTCCTATCTTCAAAACACGATGAAGAGAATGATCTTAGCTCATAAATTCTCAAAAACTAAACAAAATTCTCCTCTTCTTAAATCCATCAAAACTGTACGGGACTGAGATCAAATTAATCGCGCATTAGAAAGGAACGCACCTTGATCCTTGACGTATTCAGAGAGTGAGTGGCAATCGGAGCAGAGGGCAAGACCTGTAAATCCTAGATCCTCGCATTCCTTAGTGCTGAGCTGCTCTTTTGCTGAGATCGGCGATGCCAACATCAAAATAATCATCAACATCACAATCATCTTCGCCGATAATACAACCATCATCTTCATCTCTCTCTCTCTCTCTGCCTCACCAAAACAGATCAAAGTCTTCGCAGATCCGACGCTACTGCCTTGGAACAATCTAATCCGGTTAATTTCGGTTTATAATCTCCGAAACTGAAATAGAAAACATCATCTCCGGTTTATTAAATTAGAAAACCCGAAAAGCCTTTAACCGACGCGAAAAAGTGTTAAAACCCAAATCACATGACACACGGCTGCGACTGCGAGCATCTAAACCCCCTAAAACCCTAGAATCAAAATCGCTCTCGGAGAGAAATTGTAACGGAGATGGATCACATAGCAGCGGCGGAGGAGCAAATTGTAAATGGGAGGATTAAAAGAAGACTCGAAGAAGTTAACGCTGCTGCTCAGTCGCAGCTCTCTCCTATTCAAGATCATCTCAATTTCACCCTTCAGGTATATATATACACAAACTTATATTCCTGCATCTCCTGTTTGCAAGTACGTGTGCCTTCGTGTTGATCTTGGGTCGGATGAACAGTTCACCTATGTCCGACTTTTGTCTTTAAAGTATTACTCTTTCTCTCTCTCTTGTATCAAAAGGAGCAATTTTTAGTGGCCACTTCAAGGCTCTGTTATAGTTAAGTTTTCTTGTGGTGATTGGTGAATCTCTTTTCGACTGAAGTTTTGACTAAGTTTGTATTTAATCTGTGTAGCTCAATCAAAGTATTCTGATAAGAAGCTGTGTCTTCTTGTAGTTCCTAAAAACTTGATAGTTTTGGCCTTTTGGTTATATCTCTGTGCTATACATCTCAAGTTTTATGTTGTTTCTATATTTATCTGTCTCATTCATGACCCCATGAATGAATAAATGATTGATTGCAGCAAGCATATTTTAAATGTGCGTACGAGTGCTTTGACAGAAGTAGGACGCAAGAGGAGATAGCTAACTGTGTTGAGCGCTGCAGTGTTTCAGTTGTCAATGCTCAACAACATTTCCAAGGCGAAATGGCTCAGTTTCAGGTTAATATGATTTTCAAACTCACAAAAGACTGCATACGTTTGCTATCTATGTTCTGAGAAACTTGCAATTGTAATTTGATGCTCAGGAAAGGATGAGCAGATCTCTCATGGTCTGTCAAGACAAATTTGAGGCTACAAAGCTCCATAAGAACAGGGTTGATGCCGCAAAAGCTATGGAGGTTTGTGTGAACACATCCATCGAGGATAATCTGGATACATTGCCTCATATTGTGCAGAGAATGAAGACGTCATTCTCTATTGTCGACTAATAATCCTCTGTTTTTTTTTTTTTTTTTGGGTTAAAACTAATAATCCTCTGTTGTCTCTTGCTAATCATATTTATGCCTTTTCATTATCACTCAATAGATAAACACCATGAATGGTAGGAGTTAGGCAGTGGTTATGTATTATCAGACTAAAAGTTAAACAAAGATTATAAAGATCTTGAACAACAAGCTTTTCACAATATGTCGTGTGAGGCATAAACAAATCAATAGCAAAATAGTAAATCAAACTCTTGTAGCTCTTCTTTCTTTAAAGTTGAGATTCTTAAGAAACGTCGATGCTTTCAATTGTCTGTTATTGGTGATTGCTAAGATTCTGAGAATTCCATGAGCTAATTGCTGGAACCAAAACGCAGTCATCTTGGTACTGAGATAAACGTTTGTTTGACCAAAAAATAATAATAATAAGAATATTTAATCGAACCGAACCGAGCCAAACCGATTCTGATTTTATTCGGTTTCGGTTTAACCAAACTCGCCTATATAAATATATATAAATTTGAAGAGAGAAGCTAAACCCCTAAACCCCTAAAATCTCCAGAGACAGAGAGACGATGGATCCCAAAGCAGTTGCGGAAGAGCAAATCGAGGGTTAGGAGAAAAATAGAAGAAGTACATGCATTTGGTCAGTCGCAGCAGCTCTCTCCTATTCAAGAACATATAAGCTTCACCCTTCTGGTATATAAAAAATTTTCAATCATATAATATATGTTAGCCTAGCGTTACTGTTTGTCCTACTTTTAATGGTGTGTTCCTCAAGTATTTCTCTATCTTGTAATAAAGCATGGAGAAGTTAACATCGGAACAAGTTTTATAAAAGTGTATTGTTTTCAAAATATATTGCGTGTGCGTAAAGATTCATGCCCCTTTTGGATAATGATGAACTGCAGCAATCTTATTACAAATGTGCAAACGAGTGCTTTGAGAAAAAAAGAAAACAAGAGGTTACAACTAAGTGCGTTGAGCTCTGCCGTGCTCCCGTTGTCAAGTCTCAACAACAATTAGATAGCGACATGGCCAAGTTTCAGGTATTCCTTAACTAATTCCGTAACAATTCAGCTTTTGCCATGTACTGAGAAACTTGCATAAACAATTGTTAACTGATCATTGCAGGATAGGATTAACAGATCTCTCATGGTATGTCAAGACAAATTTGAGGCTTCAAAGCTACAGAATTTGAGGGTTGATGCCGCCAAAGATATGGAGGGTTGCGTTAACGATGCCGCTGCAGAATTATTTGGCGGCTAAGCAAGAAACGTACGGTGTTATTTAGGCTTCTTAAGGTTTTGCGTAATTTATAAGTTAATTTTTAGGGTTACTATATAAAGATTTTCTTTCTAAAAGTGATCTTGCTTGAATATTTAAATCTTCTTCAACCGAACCAAACCGGATTCGATTTTACCCGGTCTTCTATGTCCAGTGTCGGGTTTAGTTAGAGATATAAAATGAAAAATAAAATCATAAATAAACTCATCACCGACTCACTCGAATGGGTTTCCTTCCCGTCGGCGGAATCACTTCGCCGGCGCTACCGCAACAAGTATCTTTCATCACCCGTAAACACCACGCCGATCCAAAAATACAGAAACTTAATCAATCTACCTCTGAAACCATTGTTTCATGGACTTCTCGCATCACTCTACTCACACGCAATGGTCGATTGGCGGAGGCAGCGAAGGAATTCTCCAATATGAGACTCGCCGGCGTCGAACCTAACCACATTACTTTCATAGCTCTACTCTCTGGGTGTGGTGACTTTTCCTCCGGAAGTGAAGCCTTGGGAGATTTGCTTCACGGATATGCTTGTAAACTTGGTCTTGATAGAACCCATGTCATGGTTGGCACCGCAATTCTCGGCATGTACTCCAAACGCAGTCGTGTTAAGAAGGCTAGATTGGTTTTTGATTACATGGAAGATAAAAATTCGGTTACTTGGAATACGATGATTAATGGGTACATGAGGAATGGTCAAGTCGATAACGCTGTTAAGATGTTCGACAAAATGCCTGAACGAGACTTTATTTCTTGGACAGCTATGATAAACGGGTTTGTTAAGAAAGGTTTTCACGAGGAAGCTTTGGCATGGTTCCGTGAGATGCAGATTTCTGGAGTGAAACCAGATTACGTTGCTATCATTGCTGCTCTTAACGCTTGCACAAACCTTGGTGCTCTCTCGTTTGGACTATGGGTACATCGTTATGTTATGAGTCAGGATTTCAAGAACAATGTCAAGGTGAGTAATTCACTGATTGATTTGTATTGTCGATGCGGGTGTGTTGAGTTTGCTCGAGAAGTTTTTGACAAAATGGAGAAACGAACTGTAGTTTCATGGAATTCAGTCATTGTTGGTTTTGCTGCTAATGGAAACGCACATGAATCTCTAGTCTACTTCAGGAAAATGCAAGAAGAAGGGTTTAAACCTGACGCTGTCACTTTCACAGGGGCACTAACGGCTTGTAGCCATGTAGGTCTAGTTGAAGAAGGTCTTCGATATTTCCAGACGATGAAAAGGAATCACAGAATCTCGCCTCGAATTGAGCATTATGGATGTTTAGTGGATTTGTATAGTCGGGCTGGGAGATTGGAAGAGGCTTTGAAGGTGGTACAGAGCATGCCGATGAAGCCAAATGAAGTTGTTATTGGATCCTTACTTGCAGCCTGCAGGACTCATGGGAACAATACTGTCTTAGCAGAGAGGCTGATGAAGCATCTTAGTGACGTGAATGTGAAAGGCCATTCAAATTACGTGATTCTCTCAAATATGTATGCGGCTGATGGAAAATGGGAAGGAGCAAGTCAGATGAGGAGGAAGATGAAAGGTCTCGGACTAAAGAAGCAACCTGGGTTTAGTTCCATAGAGATTGATGATTGCACGCATGTCTTCATGGCCGGTGACAGTGCCCATGTTGAGACCGCTGATATCCGCGAGGTCCTGGAGCTTGTTTCTTCTAATTTGCAGTTACAGGGATGTGAAGTTGAAACCCTTGCTGGTGATCACCTCACTGATTGAAATCCAGGGACTTCACACCCAATTTTTGTTCAAGTCAGATTGGCGAATTACTGGGATTCATATTATACAAGTGATACTGATTCAGAGTAAGTGACATGCATCCATTAGCTCAAAATGGTTGACCTGGTTTAAACCCACTCAATTGTTGCTTGTACCAACGTTTTTGCCAGGCCCTACCAATAAGTATATTGAGTAAAGATCCGGGTTTATATGGCTCTATCTAAACCTGATGAATAAAGGCTAGATAGTGATATCGTGCTCTCGTGCTTTGATAAGCTTCAAATCCAAGCTCTCTTACCTTGGTGCCAGTCTCCCTCTTGCTAATATAATAACCTGAATCCATGTGCATTCTTCTGTGTCTGGTCTTGCTATGGTGAAGTTATTGCTGGTTACCTTCGAGTTAGTAATTAATTAGTTCAATGATTCCCACATTTTTGCTACACTTGTTGTTCTGTTTGCGTGGGTTTTTGTAAACCTCGGGCACCTTCTAGCATTTGTTTACCTAGCAGTGATCGTTGCACAGGATTGATGGAGTGAAAGATATAGGCATCAAAAGATCTAGAAGACCTGCTAGCTTGAGAGTGTATATATTCCCAACAATTTCCTTGTTAATGCAGTTTCTAAAGATAGTGTTGTTCTAGGTGCATCCGGTATTGTTACTCTTGTATTGTAAAGGTTAACGATTATATGTAACACGTATCAGTTTATTCATAGCAGCGTTTAAGCATGTATAATCTGCAGGACAATATTATTTATGATACAAACACTTTTCAACCCAAAACAATTTTTGACTCCATTTCCTCTGCATTACTCGTATCGATTTTGGGTTGAACTGTTTTAGGCTGGAGATAAACACCGATGTACTGTAGTCCGGAGGAATCGTAAGTCCCATGGAAACCTCCAAACTGAGGAGATTTCCCGAGTTTAAACGCGAATTTCTCATAGCTGGAACCCGAAGTGCCAAAAGGACCGTAATCACTGGTGTTGGTAGTGAATTTGAGAGACCTTATGTGAGGATTGCTAGCTTCATACTTGTAATACTCTCCGCTGATTCCAGTTATGTACTCATGAGGATAGTTCAGCTCTATCTGTTGGGTCCAAATCACATGTTTAGTTATAAACCTTATAACCACGTACGTTCATAGCGTTTTAGATGGAAGTAGGTAAAGATGGTGAGGGAGAGAAAAGAAGAGTAAAAAATCAGACTTACGACGTCAAACATGTTGCCGGAAAATGGACCGTGACGGTCGGATAAAACAAGCTTACCGTCCAGCACGAACTGGAACTGGATAGACATAATACCTCCGACGCTATGAGATAGGAAAATCTGAGAGATGAAGCCGTCGTGTTTTCCTTCGTCCCAGTTTACAATTGTACTGCTTCTCGCATCATGCTTCCCTACGGGTCCAATCTTCATCTTCCCTTCCATTCTTTTACTTACAACGAAAACTCCCTTTAAGCTTTTGGTTGGTTACATAAACAGAAAAAAAGCAGGAGTACATTAACTTAAATATAGAGAGAGATATCACAATTCTCCAAGTTTGAAGTCATTGTTTCCTCTTCGTTTGACGCCTCGGATTGGCATATTCGTTGCCAATTTTGCATATCTTCATCTTGCAATTTATTCCTTTCTTTTTACTCGCTTTTGCAAAAAATTAGTTATTAGTTTTTTTTTTTATCTACAGGCGGTTCTCTTGTAAGGAAGATCCGATATTAACCTTAGAATCTTTGATGATCATAAAAGTTATGCGATCTTGATGCAATAATGCATGTGTGTATATATATGTTAGTCAACCAAGTTTTATTCACAGAAGCTGAGAAGCGTGTGTTTTTCGAATGTACACATAAGAAATTCCTTTGACTTCGTAATACAGTAAAACCTCTATAAATTAATACTTTATAAATTAATAAACACTATAAATTAATAAATTTTTCTATTACCAAGTCGGACCAATATAAAAATTAACCAAATTCGATAAGATAATAAGATAATAAGTTTTTTTGAAATCCCTATGTAAATATAGTCCCAATAATATTATAAATTAATAATCACTAATATATATATATAAATAAGTAGTTATGTTGAAATATGCGTTTAGTTTTTTCTAAAAATGAATTTCTCCTAGACCTCATATCTATATAAAAAATATATTATATTTTTATACTATGTATAATCTTATAATATATTCCATAACATCATAAAATAAACAAAAAATTTCTAATGTTTTCTATTTATAAATATGCATTATATTCATTTTTTGTTTGTTTCATAGGATGGTAAAAGATAACAATTGAGGTATTAATCATAAATTTGAATTTATGTATGTACTTTGTATTTTTTTTTGTCATCATGTATGTACTTTGTATAGATAGGAATTCATTTATAATATTTTGAATTCATTTTTTTTTTTATATAAATATAGAATTCAGTTTGAAACTATAAAAATTTATATAATCTTAAAAACTATTCTTGTTTTGTAAAATTGTCCCAATCCATAATTTTAAAAAAATTTAAGAGTGAAAGTACCACTATAAATTAATAATTATTAATTTACACTATAAAATAATAAATATTAATTTATAGATAAATTAATATCACTATAAATTAATAAAATTCTAAGGTCCAAACATTATTAATTTATAGAGGTTTCACTGTATATTAAACAAAAATAACATTTTGAAACTTAATAAAAGTGTTATTATAGTCGGAAAAAAAAAAAAAAAAAAAATTATGAATAAAGCGGTTCTCGTATGTGTATTTTTTTGTTTCGGAAGGTGTCAAAGAAAAGAATCGCCAGATCGTGTAATCGCCCACTACACGGTAACTCGTCTATCATCTCTTCCTTTCTGTTATGAATTCGAGATTCGAGCTTGTTTGGGGGAGGATTGCAATCTTTTGGGGTTAAAGATTGCAACTTTTATGCTGATGATGAACTTGGTTTGTTCTTGAGCTTAATTTTGGGTTGACTCCAGTAACGGGTTTCCTGGAATATCATCTTACAATGTTTCCCTTTTGATAATTTCTATGTTGCTTCTGCTGAAGTAGTTTCGGGAAACCGCAAAAAGGTAGCTAATTTGTGTAGGTTTGGGGTAATTAGATTTTAGGATCTATCCTCTAGACAAGATGAAAAATTGAAGCTTTTTTAAGCTGTTACGTCTGTCTCTCTGCCTTTGAGATATGAAATTCACACGTCAATTTGTGGCTGTGAGATTCTACTATGTGGCTGTGTTAAATTTTACTGTTAAAATTTGGACTTGTTCCAAGATATTATTATAGCTTGAAGATTGTTTCGGGGAGATGTTACTATGTTCTTCTTTATGCCGTGTCTGAGAGTCTTTGACATGTTATCGACACTTGTTCTCCTTTGTATCTAAGCTTTGCTTACCTCAAAGGTAGTTTCTTCCAGCTTCTATCTTAATGGTGCCTTTTTCTTCTCGCAAACAGATCTCAGACTAGAGTTACCAAGATGGTGTACGAAATAACTGAACAAAAAAGTAAGAATTTCTTCACAAATATGCATTTGCAGCACTGTATAATTCTTTTATGTGCTGCTCTGTGGTAGAACTCTTTTGTTATTTGTAAGCATTTTGTTGGTGCGATGTCTGTGGTTTAACTCGTTCACTTCTTTTACTCATGTATTATAAACATTACTGAACAGATCAAGGTAGAAATTCTTGTATCTTTTTCTAAAGACGTGTTATATCTTTTCTACATGAATTATATCAGTAATAGAAAGCACAAACTTGATAAAGTACGTGTTATTTCGTGAACACGTTATAGATTCTAACATCTTCCTTTGGATACCTCTTACTGATTTTACTTCAATTTTCTTTCGCGAACATGTTTTTTACATTTCTTGAATTTCTGCAGAAGTTGGGTTGGGCCTCATTGGTTTTGGTTTATCCTTTACGTTTCTCGGTGTCATCTTGTACTTTGACAGAGGTTTGCTCGCTCTAGGAAACGTGAGAATTTCTGTACTCTCTCTAAACATTAGTCTACAGAACGGTCCAACATTTGAATCTCATTTGGGTGTGTGTCAGTTATTCTGGTTGATAGGTGTTGGCCTTTTACTTGGTTGGCAGTCGACTTGGAGACTATTTACCAACGTTAACAACTTGAGGGTACACATAGATGATTGATTTAATGCTAATCTCTTTTAATTGTTTCTCTTGATGAGCCTTTCATAGTGACATATCAATTTGGTTTTATCTTTATTTTTGTTTTTGAAGGGCACTGTCTGTTTCATCCTTGGACTCTTTCTTATATTTGTACGTTGGCCCATAGTCGGCATTATCTTGGAGATATACGGTGTCATTGTCCTATTCGGGTGAGAGCATATGTTTCTTATCGAATTTCTTGTATAATTGTGCTTTTTGAAATTGAAATATCAAGGCAGGCTGAAATTGTTGTATTGTTTCTCTCTAGAACCAAACACCACACAAGAATCTTTGCTTACAGATTGATTATGATTGTATTTCACTTCTTGCTTGAATAATTAGCTTGTTACTGTGTCTAATTGAATACGCATTTACTACCTTTACAGCGGATTTTGGTCAACGGTAAAGGCATTCCTTTCCCAGATTCCGTTTGTTGGGTGGATAATACAGTATCCACTCATGGTAAGTAATCCTCAACAACACTTCCCTTGTGGTAGCTAAGTTAGCCTCTCTCGTAAATGGATATAGCCAATAGAGTTGCCCTGCAAAGTAGTTTGTAAAAATATTGGATCCGCATAAAAGGATTTAGAGCTATGAACAATTCGGATTTTATTTTTTCTTGCTAAAATTTTTGTGTCTTGAAATTTGTTTTGGAATGATCTCTTGTGCAGGTTCTTGAGCAACTTGTAAGAGGTTCTCGTTGATACAGATCTCAATCTCATGGCTGGTTATTCGGCCTCTCTAGAATTCCAAAACAACTGATGCTTACTTTTTTTTTTCTTCTTCTTGTAAAAACAGAATCACATGCTTCAGCTTACTTCTTCTTTTTTTTTAGAGACCATGACAGAGTCGTTGCTCTGCTTTGTCTTTTACCTATATACATATTCATTATTCATATGGCTCCTGCGTGTAAATATAGTATTTCACGTGAATATAACTCCACACAATGCAGTCAATGTTGCAAAGCTCCTAAAATCCGCACTTCTCCTAGGCAAGTATACTAAAAAGTCCTAAATGTCATCTAAGGAAGCCTCTCTAATGTACGCATCTGAGGAAATAAGAAACTAATCTATTCAGTAAATTTACTCAATTGTGAAACAGATGAAGACTACTACAAAACGTAAAAAAACAAAACCTTGACAACTGCGTCAGTGGAGCCAAGCTTGCATCGGATAAGACTACTATTATAGCTCTTTCTACTCCTATGCCCGTTGATAGAGAGGAAACAGAGCATTCTGATTCCAAATTTTCCTTCATCTCTAAACATGACACTTTGCGTTTGAGGAAAAAACCCTATACAAATACAATCCGCTCTCAGTTACTCTAAACTTCAATTTTGCGTTTGCCCTGTTTCACAGTTCACATCTCTTAACGTTTTTTCTATAATATCCCAAAAGTAGTTTTATCCTTCGTTTAAATTATAAACAAATATTTGCAACTAGGAACTCCCCAATCTTTGTGCCAACGGAATCTGTAGTTTAAAAATGTTTTAATCTTTCGTTAAACAAATATTTGCAACTGTACATAACTCCAATCTTTGTTTGTGCCAACTCAATTTTGATTTATGTAACGTGGGAATAATAATAATTAAGTAGTTTTTTGGTAACGAATCAACAACATATTTAAAGACAGTTAATATTAAATATGAACTTTATTAAAAGTATTACACGTTTTGTTTATTTGTTTTGTTTCGTACGGACAAAAATTTCTAAAAGTGACAGCGAAAGATCAAAAATTTGTTATCAGGATCGGACATATTCGTCAGTGCGGGTTTTTTCTGGGAGAGATGTCTCTTCGTGCTTTCTTGCTCGGCGAGACATTGACCTAAACCCGCTTAATCTCCGACTACCATCAACAAAACCCAGAGGGCACATCACTGGGCGTCAAATCATGTGGATTTCCAGGTTGAGGAGAGTTAGGAGAACGATTATGATTCTGGGCGTTGCCAATTTCTTCGTGATTCTATCCGGCGGTGTTCTTACTCTCGCTTCTGAGTCAGGTTGCGACAGCGCCGGCCAACTTTTTCCCCTCTTCGCCGTTTGTTTTGCCGCCGGCGTCAAACTCGCCGCCATGGTTAAGGTCGGTACTGCTCAGGAACTCATGGCTATGACCATTATGGATTCTCCTACTCAGAACAGCCTCCAAAGAAAGGTGCTTTTCTCTATCTCTTTCAATTTTCATTGTCTCTCAATTTTGAATTTCTTTCAAAAATAAAAATCGAGTCTTTCAATGATAGGCGTTGACTTAGTGGTAGAGAATGTCATGATTTTTCATATTTGGATGTGCAGTTGAAGTATAAGACCTGGCTTTGGTGGACTCGGTTTGCTATGGTAATTACTGTATTGCAATTTATAGGTGCAACTTACCTTATGTTCCGTGTGGCCAAATATGTTTCCCGTGATGGAATGCCAAGGATTTGCGTTTTAGGTAACCTAAGACTTACATTGATTTGCTTGTCTATAGTCTAGTACTTGGACATTTAAAAATCCTTATGTATGTTTGATGGGGTTGAACATGGCATGTCTATCTTCCCTCTCATTCAAGCTTTATTTATGGTTCAACTACCTAGCTCTTTAACCTTATCAGTGCACTTTTTCTTGCTTAAGAATCTCTTTAGTAACTTCCTTGCTCAGGGTTATCTCCAGATACACGTGAGTGGAAGCAAACGCTCCAGGTTGCCTTCTTGATCACTGTTTGCTTTGTTGCGCTGGCACAATGCTTTACGGGATCAGATATCTTGCAATGGCGGTCTTTCTATGCTACCCAAGATGATGCCTGGAAAGCTCACTATCAGGAGGTGTTTGACCATGGAATTCGGGAAGTGTTGTGCTGTCTGGGACGTCGTGAATACATGTAAGTTTTTGTTTTCTGCATTTGTATGCATCAAATTAATGTCATGGAAACTGATTTCCTGTTTATAACAAGTTCACGAGTTCAGACTCTTACGAATTGATTCTCTGCATCAGGGGTGTTATTGAGGAAGACGAAGTGTGTTCAGTTGCAAGACTATTAGGTGACCTTGTTTCATATCGTGCATCAGGCACTGGCCATTTAGAATTTCTGGCAGGTTAAGATCTGAAACTTAAATCAACTGTTAGTATCTAAGAAAGAGAAACGTAGAGAAGTCTCTCAGGCTTTGCATTTCAACAGTCAACAACTAGATTTTGTGATATTGATCTTTAAGGTTGATAATTTAAGCCAGAGACTTCTGTTTTCTTTCTTTTATTACATTTTTAGACTGTGGTTGTGCTGTGATCTCTTGTCTTTACTTTGTGTTGTATGTAATCTCAGTATGTGAACCTTATCTAACTAATTTTGTCTATTCAGGCCTTGCTCTGCTGCAAAATAAGAGCCAGTTTCCTGAATCATATGAGGACTGTATGGAAGCTCCAGCATTCCATCTTCAGGAAGCTGCTATGTTGCATAAATTTGCAGAAGCTGCTTATACTGTATGTTTTAACAACACAGGCTCCAAATCACTTCTTTAAATGGTAGATATCTTTAACCTGCGTGTGTGGCATTGTGCAGGGGCCACTGCTTGATGTTGGGAGAAATCCTGCCTTATTTTTATGCACATGGATTTGTAGGCAAGGGATTCTAACACCTTGGAGCCGTAAATGGTATATTATATCTGGTTAGCTCGTTTGAAGAAACTCAACTTGTTTCTTTGAAGTTTATTCATTCCAGCTTCCATACTTTTCCCTTGTGTGTCTGATCTTGATACGGACAAATTTGTATGATATTAATGTAGAATCTTCCTTGCGATAATTTGCAGGCGGCCTAAACTTGATGGTGATAATTGGTGGCGGGGTCATGCAGCTGCCTTCCTTAAGTTCATAAATTTTCCTGCTCATGTTCTTCGAAGAGGTCGAATTTGTAGGGTAAGTTTATTCCGTTTGATTTTCTGTTCCAAAACCAAGTTGAAAATGGATCAGTTAATGTTGTGCCTTCATTATGATGGTCCCACGACCAAGGCAAGCCAAAGCAGATAATCTTGTATGCCTTGTTTTATGATATGGTCTGACACAATCAATGGAAATGGATTCGCTGTAATTTTGTTATTTTTGAAGAAAATAATCTGTTTATCAAAGTTGTTTGATACGTTTTAGCGTCTCAGAATCTTTCTCATATGTTCATGTAATTATTATTCTGGTGTGGCAGGAGAAGTGTAAAGCAACATATTTCGTTGTTGTCTTACATTATCTTAGATGTGTTGTAATTGCTGTTCGAGGAACTGAGACGGCCGAAGACCTCATAACTGATGGTTTAGGCCGCGCATGCTCACTAACTTCTGAAGACTTAGATGGGCTAACAAAGTCAGTCTCTATCTCTTTCTTATTAGAATAATTGTGCTTTTGAGTTTAGATTCAAATAAAATGCTTAGGGTTTCACAGCCTAACTAATTATTAGTAGATGGGTAAATCTAAAATATCTCAATTTACTCAGTTTATAACTTAAATCTACAAAATCTGATGTTTCAAGTCATGTATGCTCTCTCGTCCTTCTGATTATGGTGAAATCTCAGTACTCCACGCCCCATCAGGAGTAATGATTCTCTTTTTTGCTGTTATATGTGTTGATCTGTCAGCCATATACATGGTATGGATCCATCTCGCAAACACTACGGACATTCGGGAATAGTAGAAGCTGCAAGAGATCTATTTATGCAAATAGAAGGCGACCCCAACTTTGGAGGTAAGAGTTAAGCTATAAGTGTCACTTGGTATTGAATCTTTGCGATATGTGTTCATAAATTGCCACAAAACAAAGCTTCTCTAAAACGTAATATACAAACGACTATGCAGAGTCAGGATCAATTGGGTTTTTGTCCTCATTGATTGGTGATGGGTGTGAGTGTGATGGCTACAGCATTCGCATTGTTGGGCATTCTTTAGGAGGTGCTATCGCCTCATTACTGGGAATTAGAGTATGTTTTCTATTAATAAAAGGTTACACACATTTCTTTAACTTATCCTTCACTTCTGATTATTCCCTTCTTCTTTTTGGCGGGTAGCTTCGTTGCAGATTCCCTAACCTATATGTATATGCCTATGGACCCCTCCCATGTGTAGATTCAGCTGTGGCAGATGCATGTTCAGAATTTGTTACAAGGTAGATTTTTGAACCATGCTGATTTTAATGATTTAGTTTAAGTCACTAACTTTTTAGGCCCTTGATGCAATTCTCAACAGCATTGTACTTGATAACGAATTCTCATCACGACTTTCCTATGGATCAATACGCCGGCTCCAAGTAGCAGCAATCAAAGTACTGTCTCAGGACCCAAAAGCTGATACAGCACTCATTTTCAGACTTGCACGTCGGTTTTTGTCAGCGAGTAAACGCCAACGAGAAAATGTGGAAGAAAAAACTTCTGAAGAAGCAATGCCATCATTAATTGGTAACAACTTTAATCTCACTCTGATACTCTTCTTTTTAGTTTTTCATCAAGAGATACGGAATGAGAAATATCTGCTTCGTCTTGTTTTTATTGGTGTAAGTTAATGATTCACCGGAAAGCCTGCAACAACAAGATCAAATATACCCAATATGGGAAGAGGCTGAAGCAGAAATGCAGCAAGATGTTGAAGAGTTCATAAACCCGTTTCACAGTATGGCCTCGGAGGATAATCCCGTGTCTCAGTTTATGGAAACAGTCCCAACAAGAGAAGATGATGATGAAGCTCCCGAGATGTTCCTGCCCGGTTTAGTCATTCATATAGTACCCGAAGGAAACAACATGAGTGTGCCGATATGGCGAGGATGGCCAATCTGTGATATGACTGATGGTTACAAAGCTTATGTTGCAAACAGAGAGAGCTTTAAAGAAATTATGGTTTCTCCATCAATGTTCCTTGATCATCTTCCTTGGAGGTAACTCCTTAAACCACAACTTTAATTTTTTTTGTCGAACTCTCTGAAGTCTGAATCT